CTATCGTTGGCTAGCTGCGTTGTCCACCTATAATTTTGACATCAGATACCGTGCAGGTACACAGAACGTTGACGCGGATGGCCTGTCTAGGAGGCTGCATGATAAACCTGAAGACAACTCAAAATTCACTGAGGAATGCCAACGACTAGATGAGTTCCGATCTCATCTTTTATCCTCTGTCAAAGAAGTCGAGCTTCAACTTCAAGCCGAAGCAGTGAAGGCAACATGCCAAAAGCACATGGTCTTGGATGAGACTGATTCTCCTTGTGGTTTAGTTCAGTCACTTGCCATGTCTGCAGCGGCCATTCCAGACCTATTCCAGTTGGAAGACAATAGTGACAGTTTCTTTGCTGTGCCCAAGTATAACCATGCTGACCTTGTCTCCTTGCAGAGGAAAGATCCAACCATTGGCCGAGTCATTCAGCTGCTTATGACTGACAATAAACCGCCAACTGATACTATTGCAGAACCCCCGGTGGTTCTTAACCTTTTGAGAGAGTGGAAACGGTTTGAGTTTCAAAATGATTTACTGTACCGGAGACGCCAATTAGGACCAGAGACATCATTGCAGTTAGTCTTGCCTGATTCATTACGTTCAACAGTCATGCAAAGCCTACATGATGATATGGGGCATCTTGGGGTTGAACGTACGACAGATCTCATTCGGTCCCGTTTTTACTGGCCAAGAATGGCTAGTGATATCGAAATCAAAGTTAAAACTTGCGAAAGATGTATCCGTCGGAAGGCCCTCCCTGACAAAGCTGCTCCAATGGTGAGTATTACCACCACCAGACCTATGGAGTTAGTTTGCATGGATTTTCTCTCCATAGAACCAGACAGTAAGAACACTAAAGATGTCTTAGTGATTACAGACCATTTTACAAAGTATGCAGTGTCCATCCCAACCAAAGATCAGAAAGCCACCACCGTCGCGAAGAACCTGTGGGAACATTTTTTAGTCCACTACGGGTTTCCTGAGCGTCTTCATAGTGATCAGGGACGGGATTTCGAATCACGTACAATCAAGGAACTTTGTTCTTTACTTGGTATCCGTAAAGTCAGAACGAGCCCTTATCACCCTCGTGGCAACCCCGTTGAACGGTACAATCGTACATTACTCAGCATGTTGGGAACTTTACAAGCCACTGAGAAACATCACTGGCGCGATTTTGTAAAACCACTTACTCACTCGTACAATTGTACAAAAAATGACGTGACGGGATACTCTCCCTACGAGCTAATGTTCGGTAGGCAGCCTCGGTTGCCTATAGATATTGCCTTTGGGTTACCGCATTTGAACAAGCCCTCTATAACTCATTCTCAGTATGTTAAAGAACTGAAGAGTCATCTGGAACAGAGTTATGACATTGTCATAAAAAACTCTCAAAAAACAGCGAGGAAGAACAAAGAACGGTTCGACAGAAACATTCGTGAGTCCACACTAGGTGTGGGAGATCGTGTTTTAGTCCGAAATCTTCGCTTAAGAGAAAAGCATAAATTAGCAGACAAATGGGAGCAAACAGTGTATATAGTTCTCAAACAGATGGAAAACTTGCCAGTATACACTGTAAAACCAGAGAACGGAGAAGGACCCAACAGAACACTCCACAGAGATCTTTTACTGCCTTGTGGTTTTCTCTCTTCATTAGAAAATGAAACAGAACGCGTTACGAAACCTAGCAGACCTCATACAAGACAGAGTTCAGCCTTAGAACCTGACCCAGATGAGCCACTTGACGAAGAGGTAGATGAGTTTTATTACTCTGATCTTCCACAAGTGCTAAACCGACCATCCTATCAAATAGCGGTCACCTTGCCAAATAGGGAACTCATAGCAGATTCAGGACCGGTAAATAATATTCAACAACAAAACACACTATCCTTACACACAGGGGATCGCAAGGAACCAACCTTAGCTGGTAATGAAAATGCTGAATTGTCCTTACTTGACAAAGGCATCAACACCGAAACATTCTTACCTGACAGAATGAGTGAAACTGCGACATTCTTACCTGAAAGAGTGAAAGAAGCAGCAACATACTTGCCTGAAAAAACGAAAAAAAACGAAGTATACTTACCTGACGTAGAAACGGGGGATGAAACTAACACAAACCTACCTCAATTGGATGGTGTCCTAAAGTCGCAGCAACGTGATGTAAGTTTTGAACCCATCATACACGATCAGACACATACATCTGAAAAGACCAAAGTCTTAGAGAATAGCTCATCAGCTCTGTCGGAAACAGAGAGCTCACTTCGTCCTGTCTCAGTTGAGAATCAAACCGAAACGGATGAGCATGATACTGTGCAACCAGAGATGTATGTCAGGAGATCTGAACGAAGTAGTCAGCCTCCTCAAAGACTAACTTACTCTCAATTGGGCAATCCACTAGTGACCGTAGTTAGGTCCCTTTTCCAAGGACTTAATAAAGCTTTTATTGACTCTCTTACTCAAGAAGTTGTGTACCCCGTAGAAACAATGCACAGGGACGTGCATGATATTTAATGGGGGAGGATGTAACCCAGAAGCTAGAACCTTAATGAGGTATTAACTAATTGGCTTACTAATATGATCCATCCTCAATTTAGATAAAATATAAAATATAAATTAAGGAAATTAACAATACTAATTAATAGATATCTAATTAACTAATAGATAATTTCATAATGAATTATTGGAAGGGTGAATAACTAAAATAACGAGTTTAATATTAAACATCGGTTAAAACAAGAATCTTGAACATCACTAACAGAAACAGAAGAGGAAAGCTGTATACTATTGGTCCAGGTGGGAATCTGAAATTTCATTGGCTGAGAGAAATAAGTCCCGCCTCCGCGAAATAAAACCGTGCGACGCAGCTGAGCGAGAGGAGAGACAAACGGCTGTGCAGCACGCAGATACAGAAAGCAAAGACTGAGCGGTTAGAGAGAGAGAGAGAGAGAAAAAAAAACAACGGTCGAGGCCGTGAAGAACCCTGATTTGGGTGCCGCATAGATAGAGGGAGAGGCGGACTTGACTCCTTCTAATAAGAGCTAGGAACTTGGAACCAACGCGGTGAGTAAAGAAAAAAGAAGAGAAAAAGCTAACGATGCAACTTAAAAAAAAAGAAACTTAAATAGCTTATCAAATTAATTCCATTCTTATAGATTTGCGTGGAGACGACAGAGTGAACCAATCCTCTGTAGGAGGGAACCGTTGGAGCGCGTTGGTGAGTGAATGAGATTAAATTCAGTAAATTATTAAATTCAAAAAGCTAATTACAGCAACCGAGGTGACAGCAGTGGGCTGCTAGACGTTAGATCCCAGGAGTTAACATCTCAAACTACCAGTTAACGGTGGTAGGGCATATAGGAGTTAACGGCTCAAACCGCCAGTTAACGGCGGTACGGCATATGGGATTCCCAGGAGTTAACGGCTCAAACCGCCAGTTAACGGTGGTACGGCCTAGATGTACAAGGTCCTCAGGGGCGTTATAGCTAACGCCATAGAATTAGCAATGCGTCCCTTAACCAAACATTTAATAATAAAAAAAATAGATAAATAAAAATAAATAAAAGCTAACTGATTAGGGAGGAATTATTTTACAAAGGTGGACCAAAGGACCAGAATTTATATTTTGTTGAATTTTGTTATAGAACATTTTAATTATTTATTTATTTATTTATTTATTTATTTATTTATTTATTTATTTATTGTGTTACAGATATACAAGGTGTCACAATGCTGTATAGAAACACAACTAAATGTATCCTTGCTGTCATGAATGTATTTCTTGTTGAATAGTGTAGAGTAATAGAATCTAACTGAGCCTATTGAGCTGAACAATTGTTGTCATATGTAATTATATTTCCAGAGCTACTGAGAATTATTTTAATAGACAATCAAATTGATGTTATGTTAGTTGAACTGTGAACCCAAACATGATTGGCTATGCCAATAGAGTGAAGCATTTGTTTAAGTCTGTAAGACTTTATGCTGTGATGTGACGAGAAGGGTCGATGCCAACTCGCTAACAGTCCTGTTGTTTACAGGCTGGGTTTTTTTTTTTCCTTGGGTTTGATCCCGACTCCTATGATCACTCACTTGGAACGAGAACTGGATTTCTTCCTGACGAGGGAGATGGCGAGCCTTAACCACTGAACGAACCAGGACATCTCAAGTAACTGAAGAGCAGACTGCTCTCTTCTGTGAACAATCTCAACGGTGTGGTAGGAAAAATCGCACCACCGGACTCTGACTTTCACCCCAAGCGTGGGGATTTGACTTGACGCCGGCTGACTTGTGACTCATATGATCAAATCTCATACCGACCATTTTACTATTGTCGATTGTTTTCATCTGTTTTTGTGTGTTATCTTTATGTGTTATATTTCCCATTATTATTAAAATTTAGTATATAAACCGTTTCATGCTATACCCGTGACTCCAGTCATTCTTGAACAACCTCCAATTCTCCCCGAACCTAATTATTGGCCCATTTGTTTATTTTTTCTTTTAATTATCTTATTGTATCCTGTAATCCGGTTACACTTGCTTTTAGTACCCCATAGTGTTTGTCGTTAATTCTCAAACTGAAAATGAATCCTATCTCCTCGCTGTGCGTTCGTCTTTTTAACACCTTTATAAACACGTCAGCTGGGTTCGTGATCTAAAACATGCAGGAAACGTGCTGGAAGCAGACTGCAGCGCCTGGTATGTCAGCTTCAACAAATGGTGGCCCGCCATTCTGAAGTTGCAAATGCGGTATTCTGGCCTCAGGGGGCGCGGAGGTTCTGACTGACATTTCATTAACCTTGTAAAATGTCATTTTAGCACATACTGGCTCAAGACAATGATTTATAAACACAAAAAAGTTGCACAGTATCCCTTTAAAGGTAGCCGAGATGTCTATGTGCTGCAAGTTTGATGAGAAATACTTAAATGTGTTTCAGTAATCAGAAAAAGACAAAAACTGCCTTTCTTCAGCTGATTTTTTCATTAGATGACCTTTGAGGATTACCTTATGAGGGTTGTTTTTCTCCACTGTGCCATCTCTGTCAGCATCCACATCCAGAGAAATCTCTGTGTGAGACACAAGCATACATGCACACACACACACACACACACACACACACACACGCACACACACACACACACACGCACACACGCACACACACACACACATGCACACACGCACACACGCACACACACACACCGTGGTGACATCAGACTCAGTACAGCTGCTGATTCATCACCTCTGGCCCACATAAACTTACGGTCTCAGTAAAAGTTCATGTAAAAGTTTGTATCCAGAGTTTAAATGACAGTAAAACTAAACGCTAAAGCAAAGTAAATATAATCAACCGTAAATAAAGAAATGAACATAAACAAACTCACCAACAGCTGTCAGGTGCACAACAACCTTCGCTATACCCGCTCCACTTTCCTCGTAGTATGTAACAGACAGCTGTTAACATAAAGAAACATGTGTTTGATGTATAATGGGACAGTTTTTCTATTCAAGGCCTGTTGAGGGATGCACATTACCACACACTCCCTGTTACCTCGCTAACCTGCATCTCATTATCTGTAAAACTGAGAGTTATTATTGGGTAATTTTATCAATCCCAGATTACCTTATGGGCCATTCCCATCTGTACCGGGTCGGCCCGGGCCGGGTAGCGTAGGTTGTTTACATATCTGGGTGGCCTGGTATTTTTCTGGGCCAACCAAGGCTCATTCTCAGCCCTCTTCTCGAGGGGGTCTGCTTCAGGCCGACCAGGGCCAACACACCCACTGCTGACAGCAAATTCACACCTTCCATTAGAACAAGCCTCTGATTGGTGGGTAGAATCAGCCCACATGGGCTTAAGGCAAGGATGTGTGGAATCAACCGGGCCAGGCTGGGGCCGGCTGGGGCTACCCGGCCCGGGCCGACCCGGTACAGATGGGAATGGCCCATTAGAGAAAGTTTAAAGCACAGGGGGTTATAGTAATCAATCAATCAACACCAATACCAATCATAAAACAAACAATTTAGACTTTGCAAAGTGGAGAGGAAAAGATACACAACAAACAAGGTTGCAGTTCACTCTCAGCAGACTGACACCTTCCGACAGCATTTATTAAGCACACACATTTTGACATTCCTTAGACTCTCAGGCAGGAAGCTGTAAAAGGAAGTCTAAACTTTCTCCAGGTGCACCCTAAATCAACAAATCAATTGCTAGGCTTTCTCAAGGGAGTTTTACTGATAAAGATCGATGCCAAGGTAAGGTCATCCTCCTCCCTGTAAGACCTGCTGGAGTCTGGTATCTATCAACTGATGAAAAGGATGAAGCTCTGTTTAATAAGACACCAAATGTTTCACAGTCAAGACATTGATATTAGTTCAATAATGATCATTTCAGTTTTTACCTAACAGTTATACTCGTTTTTATGGCCATCTTCGATTGAGCTGATTTCAAAAGTCAACCGGATGAGGCGTATGTGGTGTTTCACTGGAATCCACTCCTTGACTTTCAGATAGTTTACTGGCAATGCTGACTAATAAGCAATTCCTTTCTGGGTGTTTCACTGGAATCCACTCCCTGACTTTCAGATAGTTTACTGGCAATGCTGACTAATAAGCACACAGTGACAAAACAGAATGAAGAACTCGCAATTTCCTCACAGCTTCTAGACAATGACTTCCTCTAAATGCTTCCATGTGAAGCTCAATCCCAAGTGTGTGTTTCTGTTTGGTCAGTAGTTCCTTTGCTGCAGCTGTTCAAAGCACTGATCTAATAGTAGCACTTGTGTCCTGATTACCTTGCTATCATTTTCATGTTCACTGGCTCGGCTCATGCTGATGAGCAGGACGGGGTTCCCGTTGAGAGGGACAGGAGAGAGGTGGGACGTCTCCTGGGTCGGGGGGGTGACGCTGTAATGAACACTGGGAGTGCATTTCACAGAGAAGAACTTGGAGTGTGGGGGGGCACTCCTGAAAGAAAAACCAATAACAAAAGAGAAAAAGATAAATACGCAGAGCAAGGTTGTATCAGTCTTTGTGTGTGTGTGTGTGTGTGTGTGTGTGTGTGTGTGTGTGTGTGTGTGTGTGTGTGTGTGTGTGTGTGTGTGTGTGTGTGTGTGTGTGTGTGTGTGTGTGTGCTGAGATAAATGCAGGGAAGCAGCTGTCCCACGTTTCATAACAAGTCGGAGGGACTCACGAAAATAACATCTGCGGGGTGATGAAGTTGGGCGGTATGTTTGGCTCAGCTTTAACTCGTTTTAATTCAAATAGGAACAAATTAAGTTTGGAACGTATGCTTGTTGTCATTTTTCATTGTCCATGTTTATTTAAAAAACTGTTTGATTAAAGCTGTTATTTAAACATTTTCAATCAGACAAGTTCAAATTTAAATTACTGTTTGCTAAAATCACTTTTTGAATAAACAGAACCCTTATGTTAGTAGTGGCTGAATGTCACAGATTCAGTGTGGCCACTTACATTCAACTGAGTTATTTTTAAAGCGCCAAATCACGACAAGAGTTGTCTCAAGGCACTTCATATGGTAAACATTCCAATACAGTCAGTTCATTAAGCCAATCAGTAAAAAGTTTCCTATATAAGGAACCCAGCAGGTTGCATCAAGTCACTGACTAGTGTCAGAGTCTTTACAGCAATCCTCATACTAAGCAAGCATGCAGCGACAGGATCCTGTCTCAGCACACACACACACACAAGTAATATTCTTTTAGTAAGAGATAAACTTTATTGTATTTATCCTAGTGAATCTATAATTAATTCAACAGGTAAAGTTGTAGTTGCACATTCAATGTCAAAGAAAGTGAAATGTTATCAGGAGAGGGAGAATGTGAAGTGGTTAGCAGCAGTGCGTCAGTAGCATATGCGCTGAGACGTTAGTACTTTTTTATTTAGTTAAATTGTTTATTTATAAAGCTCCTTCCCACCCCCAGTCAAGGACCCAGAAACACATAAAAACATAAAATTACTAAAAGGCAATAGGACCATAGAGCTATCGGAAAAATCACTAAAAAGATTAGTAAAACTAGCAAGTTGATCTAAATTAAAGCTTAATGAGATCATGTGTAGTTTTTACTATTAATCTCTAGAAACATGCATGGAAGTGTTGTTAAAAATGTATTGAATAATGACCAAAATATCTTTGGCTTCATAACATATAACCATAAAAATCTGGTCTAAAACACATGGAAGTGGGTCTGAATCTCTGGGCGATGCCATATTAGACACAATGTTTCCTTCTACGGGAGTCCGTGAGGACAAAATGCATTTACAGATTTGCAACAAATGGTTACAAAACAGTTGCCTTTAATAAACACTGTTTTACACTTTTACCTCTTTGCTCGTTACCTGATGTGCTTGTCATTTTGCTGGAGGATGAACGATCTGACAAAGTGCTTGTTCAAAAAAAGCGTTCCCAGGGATGGCCATCCGTTGGTAAGGTCTTACTCAAACACAAAAATACCAATTGCTTGCAATGATTTAGATACCGCCCCCTGTTGCCAGGGAGAAGCCACACCATCACTTTAACCCTCTGGAGGCAGGCGTCGCAGATTTGCAACAGTTAAAACCTACCAACCTGGTTACTCCACACACGTGTTTCATGAGCATTTATTTTAACTCAGAAGTACCCCTGAAGGACTTAGTTGTTCGTCCTTTCATCAAAACTTATTTTGAGTCTGAGAGGGTTAAGTCTGGCGAATGGACTGTTTTATTTCTTATGTAAGTTACCAAAGCTGAACACCTAAACCAAAAAAGCACACTAGACTTGACCGAGGGAGCACCAACAAGTCACACTGAGCCGAGTGTAGAGATCTTGCAGGGACTTAACGGGTCACAAGTGAGGCTAAATTCAGTGGCGCTGATCCAAACAGAAACACTGACCAGGATTTTGAGCAGCATGCAACATTTCACTGGTAACCAGTCCAATGCAGCCAGGATCAGAGAAACAGGCTCCCGTTTTCATGCTCCGTAGCTGGAAGCAGCGTTTTGGACCAGGGAGGACAGACTCAAGCTGGCAAACTGTAATCAAGTCTCAACATGATAAAAGTGTTCATAAGAAATTCCAGTTCCTGTTTTGTGAGAATCTGTTTCATCTTGACAAAATGTCTCAACTGAAAAAACAAGACCGAACAACTGAATTTACCTGCACATCAAGCCTTAGAGTGGTCTAATTTGACACCCAAGTCTGTAATACAGATTTCTCACAGGGAAATGGCGTAAGAGGTCAAATCCATGGGGCTGTTGGCCATTTGTGGTAAAAACTATTATTTTAGTTTTGCCCTCAATGAGCCAGAAAGTTAGACGCTATCCAGAGAATCACATCCTGCAAGCGATCCACCAACTGCCGTTTGTTACCCTGAGACCCTTGCTGAACTGGCAAATAAAGCTGACAACCATCAGCATAAAGATGGAAGCTAATGTTTTTTTTTATATATAATCCTAGAGGGGGAAGATAAAGCGAGAACAACAGGGAGTCCAAAACAGACCCCTGGGGAACCCCCACCTAAGCTCAGCATCTCTTGATCAATTGGGACCAGGGGAAACAGAAAAGGGCCTATCCACTGTAATGCAGAGCCTGAGAGCCCCACCCGCTGCGCTAAGCAAGCCAACAAGATCTGATGGTCAACAGTGTCAAAGGCCACTGTTACGTCCAGCAGCAGCAGAACCACAGCCACACCAGAATCAAATGCAAAAAATGTTGTTTAAAATGGTAAATAACCTGTATTTAATGTAGCCTGTATGTAATGTATATATTTCCAAAAAGGGGAGATCCTAAACTCTAAGTCCAAATGCCGGTCCGAAGTCAAATTACCAAATAGTCAAATCCTAAATCCAAAATCCAAATCCAAAAGCCGAGAGCACTGAAGTCTAAATATAACGAGTTTTTCCAAAAGAGCGAACGAGGAGAAGAGAATAGCCCAAACTGTTCCCAGTCTGCACTATCCTTGATCTTCTCACTGAATGAGAGCAAGAGGGCAGCTTTTAACAGCTGATCCATGATTAGGAGCGATTACCAACACCTGTTCACCTGGAGACAGACGAAGCAGAAGGCTGCTGCGACCATCCTGTGGCCGAAAAGGGGTGCTACACGTAACAGTCTTCTAGAGTCCTGGAGCCCCCCAAGGTGCTTTACAACACAATCAGTCATTCACCCATTCACATACTCATTAACACGCGGGTGTGATGAGCTACAATGTAGCTACAGCTGCCCTGGGGCGCTTTGACAGGGGCGAGGCTGACGTACACAGGCGCCACCGGTCCCTCCGACCACCACCAGCAGGTAAGGGGGGTCAAGTGTCTTGCCCAAGGACACAACGACAGCGACAGACTGAGTGGGGCTCAAACCTGCAACTGGGGCGAGCACTTAACTCCTGTGCCGCTGTCGCCCACTTCTTTAAATCTTTTTAGTGCAGTTCCAGTGCTGTGTCCAGCCCGGAAGCCTGACTGGAACAGTTCTAATATGCCATTTTGCCAGAGAATTTACACATAATATCAGAGTCAAGCCCCGTTTTCTTCAATAGCGGTCGCACCATAGCATGCTTGAACTCCTCTGGAACTGTGATAAAAGCTAGGCTGCTCAATTATAGTTGAGACAGGGGGTAGCAGAACAAGAGAGCCTGTAAAAATACAGGCTGGCATAACAGTATGTAGCGCCTGGAGGCTTTAACAACTTCATGCCTCTCAAGCTCGGGCAAGCTTACCGTGAAAGAGCTTAAAATGCAAAGGAGCAAGGTGGGGCAGGAAAATCGTCAGCTGAGCTGAGAAGAAGCTGATCTTTCAGCTTCAGCTTTTCTTAGAAAACAGGCTAAGAACTCCTCAGAGTTTGAAGGCTCCAGGTGGTTGGCTCCAGTGATGGGATCAAGGACTGAGGCTAAATTCTTAGAGGACATGCTGGTCACCTGAGGCTGACAAATCAACATTTATAATATACAAATTATGTAAAGAAGATACTTTACAGTTGAGATACATTGAACAAAATTATAAATGCAACACTTTTGTTTTTTCTCCCATTTTCATGAGCTGAACTCAAACATCTGAAAATGTGTCTACATACACAAAAATGCGCATTTCAGGGTGTCCTTTTATTGTGGGCAGTTTAAGCCATGCCTGTACATTATTCATGCTGTCTAATCAGCCCCTTGGTATGCCACACCTCTGACCAAGAGATGTACTTTCTTGGTAAAACAAAAGTGCTCACGTAGACAGATTTTAGAACATTATTTGAGATTCATGGGTGCTTTGTGTATGTAGAAAAGGTGTCAGATGTTTGAGTTCAGCTCATGAAAAATGGGAGCAAAAACAAAAGTGTTGGGTTAATAAGTTTGTTCAGTGTAAAAATTAAACCTGAGCACTGACTGACCAGCAGCTGCAGTTACAACCACCACTGACTCAGAGAACATCTTGATAGAAGCTGTGACTCCATGCATGATGAAGTTGAGCTGGAAATTCAAACCCCCCCAAAGACCCCTGTGAGAACCAAGCAGTGTGCCAGGCGATCACTCTGCGTGGTCATGAATTCAAACTTGTTGAGCAGAGGCGGCTGGCATTAGTCTGAACAGCAGGCCTTCTTTGAGGAAAACAAAGCCTTGTCTGTTGGTGGCAGCGCTGAGGGACTGCTGTACTTCTGCATTGTGCAAAATGACAATAATAATAATAATAACATACCGCAACCACCATGATGTGCATCAAAGACTTCCTTTTGCTTCATAATGGTGTCAGAACAACGTCTTTATCAATATTAAAGCAATTACAATAACTTTCATGAGGTTGTTTCATCACAGTTTTTAGAGCTTTCTATTGGTTAGTGTCTTTTTTACCTAAGAAGAAAATATTCATAAATAGTATAAAAATAAATGGAACTAACGTTGTTAAAGGGGAATTCAAAAACGATATTTACTACATCTGGACTTTCAAATGCACAATAAAGTTATAAAAATAAAAAGTAAATGTCTAAACAAACATGATGGCTGAAGACAACAGTTTACCTGTTTAAGTTCAAAGTGAGCTCCGAGCCGACCACACACACGACCCTGGTGGTTTTACCACAATCTGCTCTGAGAGTCCGCTGGAGAACCATGGCTGCGCTCAAACTGATACCAGAACCAGAATCAGAACCAGACTGCTCCGCTGAAAGCACCGACTGACTGAAATTTGATTGTGTTTCGTCAAAAATATGATGGTCCAGATTCCGCCTCCCCGTGAGCGCGCAAAGAGTCGCGTCTCATCGCTTTGCCATGGAGACGTGAAGTTGATCCGCGTGCGCAAAAGAGCTGTCCTCTTTATGTTGTTGTGGCAGCAACATGACCAAATGTGGTGGAAGCCCCCTCCTGCCAAAATAACTTCATAAATGTGGGGAAAAAATACATATTTGGAGATAAATTAAGAGTGAAAACATTTATTTCCACTGTGTATTTATTAATTTGAAGATTGATTGATTGATTGATTGATTGATTGATTGATTGATTATTTATTTTGGCAGCAAGAGTTCTCCACCGGTCTACATACGTTTAAAAAATGCCAACATAAACAGAAATACGTGTAAAGTTATAAATAACCACACAAGTCGGTTTGTTTCAGCAGCCTGACTCGAACACTTTTATTGCAGAGTTAGAAAGGGTTGATATTTGACAAACGTTTTTTTTTCTTTTAAAGAAAGTGGAAAAATGTTTTATAGTCAAAAGAAAAAGCATCCACCATGCTCCCAGTTTTTATTAAACTGTTTTAGTAACAAAACCAAGATTTTATAAAGTAAAAAGATGAATAGAAACGTATTTCCTCAACTCATCGTGGTCCTTTCACTTGGCTTTTGAGACGTTTAAACAGTGTTTTAATACTATAAATACGGTTTAATATGTTTGACTAAAATCTGCCCCCTTGTGGGAATCTATGATTATTACATTTTAACCCCTTTTCAGGGAGGATATTTTTGTGTTACCTTCAAATAATTGTGTTTCTGTTTTCATCACTGATGTTACAGGTGTGTACATATTAATAAGATCATAAAAGCCCTGAGATTAAATTACCAAAACAGTCACTGAGCAATACGGATGTTTAAAAAGAAATAAACGTGCTTAAACTAACTAAATGCAAAGCAGTGTGAGGATTTTCAGACACAGAAGTTGTAAGGACTGACAAACAGATTTCAGATCTGTGCTGAATCCCTTTAGAATTGTTATGAATTATACTTTTGCTTTTGACAATGTTTTAGAAACATTTGATTACTTAGGCCTTTCTTTTTTTATCAATGTTTAATCAGAGCTCCACGTTCCACCACTTGAAGTCAAATGGTTTACGTCGAACGTTGGAGCCACAGTGCACCTCTCCCAGCAGTTTGTGGTAGGAGGCAAAGTCATCGATGAATGTGCACTGGAGACCCAGGGCCTCCATCAGGGAGCACATCTCAGCCTCCAGGGCGCAGCGTCCGTTCACCCTGGGACCAAAAGGCTTCGGGATGCCAAGGTTCTTCCCCAAGACGATCATGTTGACCTGGGAATAGATTTGGCACGTAATGGTGTCAGTAGCTCCATTGTTTACGACCATTTTTATACTAAAATCTAAAATGTTTTTAAATCAGAGAAAAAAGTAGATCCAAACACACCATATCAGGGTAGTAGGCTGCTGCTCTGAAGTCCTTCTCCAACTTGAATAGGATTGGGAGGTCAATTATGTCATCATCATCCAGGCCCAGCTCTCTTTTCAGGACATCCCTGTTCCAATCAATGCAGCTCTGAGGAATACAAAAGATCAAACCTAATGCTCAAGTGGAGTTTTCTTTGCACACAGGAGCCGTGAGCAAATCACTGCAGCCAGTGTCTAAAAAATCCCACGAAATGACATAAAGGGCAGGTTACTGAAAAAGCTAACCCACCTGCACGTAGTTATTTTCAGCTCGGAGATTTTCATCACTAAGTATGTCATCCACTGTCCTTGGCATTTGATTTTCAAGTCCTTTTAATGTACAAAGCGATTCACAATCATTGCTCTTGCTAATTATTTACCCCCATAGATATTATTGTCATTAATACTCAGACTTTACCCTCGAACATTTTGACTTGTGCGTGTCCATCACTCCACAAGCGTTTTAATAGCTTATAAGCTGCATCTGGGCTGGCCAGCAGCAGACGGAAACCCTGCAAGCAGACAGAAACAATCAAACCCAGAGAGTTCATAAATCATACAATAATTTTGCTCCAGTTTCTTAAAGGTGCAATGTGTAAAACTGAAGTAAAAATGGCATTCTGTAGTAAAATGTGGGTAGTGCAGTCAATTATTCTTAACAAAATGTTACTTCCTTTGTGAGTTTCATGGCTGTTGCCTGTTATGGATCAGCTCCAGAAGATTCTAGATAAGCAATGACGAGTCATACACAGTAAGTTGATAAGTAGAGAAATACATATTTTGTAGAGTAAAATAAAAAGATGTCGAGGCTTCTTAGGGGAGCAAAACATCAATTCTGGGTCACTCCAGTTTCCTGACTTTTTGGCTGCTGGTATTGAATTACAAACATTGGTGCTATACATCGTTAGCTTGCTGCAGACTCCGCAACCTCACTGATCATAAACACTAAACATATCCGTCTTTAGTTTGTTGAAAGGAGAAAAACTGACGGCAACCAGCTGGCTGAGAAGGGAATCCGTTTCAGTATAACATTCCTTCCAACATGACTGAGACATTAGTCTGTTTTGGGATTTTTTTAATTGTAAAATTCTTACATATTGCCGCTTTTAATGATGCAAAGATGAACTAAAAGATTTTAGTTCAACATGCAAATGTGGTAATTAAATTTTACTTTTTAATTTTAGTAATTCTGGGTTATTATTCTGCAGACTGAATATCTACCTTTCTGTCAGGTGCAGGAACGAAAGTCATGAATTCATCCACGTGGCCGACAATGAGCCAGTCAGAAAATAAGGCAATGGGCTTCTGAACCTTCTGAGCCCACAAAAAGTCCTGAACTACTTGGGTCATGTTTCGTCCTTTAGTTGCCCTGAAAGAACAAAAGACACAAAACATCATGAATAAATCTTATGCTTTTTTTTCTGATTTGCACCAAGAAACCAGATGTTCAGTTTATATATTTGTATTTTATATAGTTAATTAGTAGGGATGCACCGATACCGATAAAAGTTAACAGATACCAGTAACTGATACCAATGCAGTTGCTTGAAAGTTACTTCACTGTAACTTGTCATTTCTGTTCATCTAATATTTTAGTTTTGTGATAATTTATATTAACATATTTACTTTTTATCTACCTCACAGTCTTTTCCTGTTGAAAACAGAAAATAAAATAAAACCCGTATTCCAATTCATTGCATCATTTTATGTGGTAGAAGTATCGGTATCGGTAATTAATCGGTATCGGCGAGTACTCAGATCCAAGTATCGGTATTGTTTCGGTTTGGAAAAGAGTGGTATCGTTGCATCCCTATTAATTAGATTATCTCGTAGGTTGTACAAACTTCCACAAGGATTTTAAAGGTGTTTTAATGCAGATTTGATGTCCAGCTTTTTTGGAAAAATTTCAGAAATTTAAGGGTTAGTATTTTTTTTTTTTTGGTGAAAATGATCAAAAATTGTATTTGAAATAGCAAATTCAGGGAAATTATAATTCTTAAACTGAGCAAAAAAATCACAAAATATAAAACTTTTTTAACCCTTTGATGCGTAGTGGTCACTGCAGTGGACAGGTACTCAAAATTGTTATTACGTTATTTTTGCTATTAAGCACAGCTGTTGAAGAATTTATTGCATGTGAGCCCCTCCATTTGGACTTCAGTAAGTCAAGCCGCCATATTTCATGTTCAGAATGCACATTGTCCACTGAGGTGGACATGTAATAAATTATTTGTAAATTAACAAAATGTTACAAAAAATATTTGTTGAAATTTGTTTCATTCACACCTAAAGATGGGTGAAAAAAATGTTTAAGAAAGCATGGTTGAAGATCTCATAATTCATGCATCAGAGGGTTAATATAATTTACCTCTCCCTGGGTTGCCACCTTACCGTGGTGGAGGGGTTTGAGTGTCTCAATGATCCTAGGAGCTAAGTTATCTGAGGCTTTCTGCCTCTGGTAGGGTCACCCATAGCAAACAGGTCCTAGGTGAGGGATCAGACAAAGAGCAGCCCGAAGACCTCTTATGATGAATTATATAAATGGAAACTGTGTTCCCTCACCCAGACGTGGGTCACCGGGGCCTCCCTCTGAAGCCAGGTCTGGAGGCAGGGCACGTTGGCGAGCGTCTTGGTTGCCGGGCTTTCACCCATGGAGCCCGGCCGGGCACAGCCCAAAGAGGAAACGTGGGTCCCCCTTCCCATGGGCTCACCACTCGTGGGAGGGGCCAAAAGGGTCAGGCGCAGTGTGTGACGGGTGGTAGTCGAGGGCGGGGACCTTGACGGTCTTATCCTCGGCTACAGAAGCTGGCTCTTGGCATATGGAATGTCACCTCTCTGGTGGGGAAGGAGCCTGAGTTGCTGTGTGAGGTTGAGAGGTTCCCACTAGATATAGTCAGACTCACCTCAATGCATGGCTCTGGCTCTGGAACCAGTTTCCTTGAGAGGGGTTGGACTTTCTACCACTCTGGAGTTGCTCCCACTGAGGGGTGCCGAGCAGGGGTGGGCATACTAGTTGCCCCCCATCTTGGTGCCTGTACGTTGGGGTTTACCCCAGTGAATGAGAGGGTAGCCTCCCTCCTCCTACGTGTGGGGGGACGGGTTCTGACTGTGGTCTGTGCTTATGCACCAAACTACAGTTCAGACTACCCACCCTTTTTGGAGACCTTGGAGGGGGTGCTGGAGAGTGCTCCTTCCGGTGACTCCCTTGTTCTGCTGGGGGACTTTAACGCTCACGTGGGCAACGACAGTGAGACCTGGAGAGGTGTGGTTGGGAGGAACGGCCCCCCTGATCTGAATTTGAGTGGTGTTTTGTTATTGGACTTCTGTGCCAGTCATGGATTGTCCATAATGAACACCATGTTAAGACATAAAGGTGTCCATATGTGCTCTTGGAACCAGGATACCTTAGGCCGCAGCTCAATGATCGACTTTGTTGTTGTTTCATCTGACCTGCGACCGCATGTCTTTGACACTCAGGTGAAGAGAGCGGCGGAGCTGTCAACTGACCACTACCTGGTGGTGAATTGTCTCAGATGGTGTGGGAGGATGCCGGTCAGACCAGGCAGGCCCAAACATATCACGAGGGTCTGCTGGCACCGTCTGGCAGAGTCTTCTGTCAGAAGAAGCTTCAATTCCCACCTCTGACAGAACTTCCAAAATGTTCCGGGGAGGCGGGGGACAATGAGTCTGAATGGGCCCTGTTCCGTGCCTCCATTGTTGAGGCGGCCGACCGGAGCTGTGGTCGCAGGATCGTCAGTGGCTGATGTGGTAACAACCCCCGAACCCGCTGGTGGACACAGGTGGTTAGGGATGCTGTCAAGCTGAAGAAAGAGTCCTGTCCTTTTGGCCTGTGGGACTCCAGAGGCAGCTGACGGGTACCGGCAGTCTAAGCGGAACACAGCTCAGGTGGTCGCCGAGGCAAAAACCCGGGCATGGGAGGACTTCGGTGAGACCATGGAGCAAGACTTCCGTACAGCTTCAAGGAGATTCTGGTCCACCATCCGGCGCCTCGGGGGGGAAAGCAGTGCGCTACCAACACTATCTATAGTGGGGACGGTGTGCTGCTGACCTCTACTCAGGACGTTGTGGATCGGTGGGCAGAATACTTCGACGACATCATCAATCCCACCGACACGTCTTCCAGTGAGGAAGCAGAGTCTGGGGACTTTGGGTTGGTCTCTCAAATCTCTGGTGCTGAGGTCACTGAGGTGGTTAAAAAGCTTCTCTGTGGCAAGGCTCCAGGGGTGGATGAGATCCGCCCGGAGTTCCTTAAGGCTCTGGATGTTGTGGGGCTGTGTTGGCCGACGTGGCTCTGCAATATCGTGTGGACATCGGGGGCAGTCCCAGTGGACTGGCAGACTGGGGTGGTGGTCCCCTTATTTAAAAAGGGGGACAGCAGGGTGTGCTCCATCTACAGGGGGATCACACTCCTGGGCCTTCCTGGTAAGGTCTATTCAGGGGTTCTGGAGAGGAGGGTCCATCGGATTGTTGAACCTCAGATTCAGGAGGAGCAATGTGGTTTTCGTCCTGGCCAGGGAACACTGGACCAACTCTATACCCTTACGCCTGGGACACACCGGCCGTTGACGCGAAACGGGGACCGCCTTCATTCGGCGCCCTTTTTATCATATGCTATAGACCACATGGACCACCAAAGCGAGCTCCAGCCCGCACCGTGCAGCGATCGTGTCGGCATCTGCTCTATTTTTTTTGCGAGCCGCAGGTGAACCACGTCAATTCTGGCAGGAAGTCAAACCTAGACATAAGAGGCAGGCCAGTAAATTTAATAAAATAAAGCATTTCAAAATACAATTCCGCAATAGTCAAATGTGTTTGTTAACAGACACTGCATAAAAACCACACAAACACACACACACTCACACACACACAGAGCAAACTTGTGTGTGTGTGTGACCACATGAAGGGTGTGTAGTTTTGGGTGTCTTTCAACCAGAGCAAACAGGACAGAAAGGCAGAAAGTCGTAGGCCAGCTATTAACAACTGGTTCACACCATAGTCTCACACACACATGGAAAAACACACACAAACAGCAAGGGGGAGGGGGATGTAGAGGAAAAGAGCAGAGAAAAGGCAGAGAGGAAATGGAGGACACTAAGTGGTTGAAAGAAAAACTACAGCTGAGCCGAAGCGTGCCTCGACCGGAGCGGAGAAGCAAGTGTCTGGTCTGAACTGAGGAGCAGCGAGTAGCGGCCGAATTTCATGAGCGCTTCGCTTCCCGGCGCTTCGGCAGCCAGTGTGTCCCAGGCATTAGGGGGATCCTGGAGGGTCCGTGGGAATTTGCCCAACCAGTCTACATGTGTTTTGTGGATTTGGAGAAGGCGTTTGACCGCGTCCCTTGGGAGGCCCTATGGGGGGTAGTCCGGGAGTATGGAGTACCAGGCCCTCTGATTTGGGCTATTAGGTCCCTGTATGACCGGTGTCAGAGCTTGGGTCCGCATTGACGGCAGTAAGTCGGGCTCGTTCCCAGTGAGAGTTGGACTCCGCCAAGGCTGCCCTTTGTCACAGATTCTGTTCATAACCTTTATGGACAGGATTTCTAGGTGCAGCCAAGGTGTGGAGGGCATTTGTTTTGGTGGCTTGAGGATCAGGTCTCTGCTTTTTGCAGATGATGTGGTCCTGTTGGCTTCATCAGAACGTGATCTTCAGCTTTCGCTGGAGCGGTTTGCAGCCGAGTGTGAAGTAGCTGGGATGAGAATCAGCTCTTCTAAATCTGAGACCATGGTCTTTATTCGGAAAAGGGTAGAATGCCTTCTCCGGGTCAGGGATGAGGTCCTGCCCCAAGTGGAGGAGTTTAAGTATCTTGGGGTCTTGTTCACGAGTGACGAAATAGAGTGTAAGATCGATAGGCGGATTGGTGCTGCATCTGCAGTGATGCGGGCGTTGTACCGGTCTGTCGTGGTGAAGAGAGAGCTGAGTCAGAAGGCGAAGCTCTCGATTTACCCTCACCTATGGTCATGAGCTTTGGGTAGTGACTGAAAGAACGAGATTGCGGATACAAGCGGCCGAAATGAGTTTTCTCCAAAGAGTGGCTGGGCTCTCCCTTAGAGATAGGGTGAGAAGCTCGGTCAATCGGGAGGGGCTCAGAGTAGACCCGCTGCTCCTCCACATCGAGGAGCCAGTTGAGGTGGCTCGGGCATCTGGTCAGGATGCCTCCTGGACGCCTCCCTGGTGAGGTTTTCCGGGCACGTCCAACCGGGAGGAGACCTAAAGGTAGACCCAGGACACGATGGAGGGACTATGTCTCTCACCTGGCCAGGGAACGCCTGGAGGAGGAGGAGGAGGAGCTGGCCCAAGTGGCTGGGGAGAGGGAAGTCTGGGCCTCTCGCCTTAGGCTACTGCCCCCGCGACCTAACTCCGGATAAGCGGATGAAATTGGATGGATGGATGGATGGATAATATAATTCATATTATTTATAAATTTTTAAAAGTAAATTAAGAGAAAAACTGTTCAATCAATGACAGTGAAATGTTCAAATAAAACAGAATAATAAAATAAAAGTAAATGAATTGAAATGAAATAAAAATAAACAAAAAAATCTACTGTGTTTTTCAAAAGCTGCTTGTGAAGTGGTGAAACATGAAAATGAAAGACTTGTTCTTTGCTAAACATCAGTGGTGGATTACTCACGTTGGAAAGGCAACCCCAATAATAATTCTTCCCAGCGGGTATTCTTTCCCGTTAACGGTGACTGGAGGGCTGACCTCCAGATTGCCAAACGAGTCCAGACTGCTCACGTCATTGTTCCGAGCCACTCGGGTCACGTATCCGAAGTCCGGGCCCTGAGGACACAGGCTAGTTTAAATTGTTTGTTCTAAACAAGCTTCATGAATTTGTGTGCTAACGTTTTGTCCTCTGGGATTTCTTTTTTTTTTCTGAGGTGGGACAAATGAGGAAAAAATCTCCACAGCATTTAGTCTAAACTTGATGAAAACCTCAAGATTGTTGATTAAGATTTACTGAATAAAACACAGCAGATAATCTTTTGGAATGTGCGCAGCAGGCAAGTGTGTGCATGTACGAATGTCATCTTTTTTCTGCTGAACTCACATAAGCAGATTTGTATGAAGATACCTGGTTTAGGTAGTAACTCATAAACAGCTGAGGTTTGTTATAAAATAATTAAATAGAATTAAAAGGGCTCAAGCTTTTTTAGAAAACTGAGTTCGTCACCAGCAGCTCCTCGTATGAAAAGCCTTGAAGCCCTCCATCCCTGGGGGAATCCAGAACCACCGGGAAACACTGATGAGGAGAATCAATGTAACCAAACTCCAGTTCATCCTGAAACAAACATAATGAGACTCCTGGAGTTAAAATAAAACTCTCTAATCTCTAACTTCTTCTCAGTGGCGTGTCCAGACATTTCTCAATGGGGTGGCCCAAGTGGGGCACTTGTAAATGCACAGGTGGATCTTATGGTTATGCCCTTTTTTGGGAAAGAGGGTTGTGACGCTAATTATTATCTATGTCAATATGAAAAATTAACAAATCAAAATAATATTATACAGGATTGTACTGTAGGTGGGGCTACAAGCCAATGCAAAAGTTTTATGCTTGTGGTTTATAAACCTAGCGTGGCCAATCAGATTCCATGGGTGGCATGTGCTACCCCGGGCCACCCCCTGTACACGCCACTGCTTCTTCCCTTGTTTCAAAAGGTACATGAATATTTATTTTATACATATTTGACAGAAAATATCATATATTAATATTATCAAAACTATCACACAAAACCAACAACTTCAGTTTCCTTTCCTTTAAATGCTTAAAAAAATGTATAATTCACAAGTGATGCAAATGAAGAAACATTACAATTCAATCCGAAGGGGTTCGAATGAACGCAACTGGACTTCTTTGGTTCCTGAAGACATTTTTGCGTTGTGAAGTCCAAAGAAATCCAAAACAGTTTCACTCCCCCCTACATTATCAAAACAACCATCCCTGCATAATATGGCCTAGCAACTCCTCAGGGGGTAGGGAGAGGGGGTATTCATAGGTAGTGTCTGCTTATTAAGCAACAATAGGCAGTTATAGTTTATAGGCTTGACCCTCCCTTATTCCAGTCAGAATTGACTAAGCTTCTCAGATGAGAAGCGAAAATGTCTTCAAGAATCCAAAGAAATCCAGTTGCCTTCATTTGAACCCTTTTTGTTTGAAGTTTAGTTTATTCTGTCCTTCTGGCACTATAAAATGATCTTTAAAAGTTGCAAATCACGTTATTTTTTGTTGTTTTCTTTTTGAATACCTGCATCCAGCGGTCTCCTCTGTTCATGTACTCATAGCAGATCTTCAGCTTTTGCCCACATTTTGAAACAAAGTTGTTCATTCCTTTCAGGAACTGGTAGTTATCGCGTGTACTGAAACCACAAACATGACGATTTAATCAAGCGTCACCTTTTATTTTTTACATTTTATTCCAGCTATGCCACTAAATTGTGGTCATGAATGCTAAGAAAACATCTGAGCATGTTGGGAGTCGTCACTAAGCAGTTTGAGCAGCTTTCTTGGAATTATGAGATGAAGTTTAGAAGGAAGTGGAACTTGATAACATCCTGATGACACACTCATTGTCTCAGTCAAGTTCATTATTCATCAGTCTGCTCTTACCTGCAGACAAACACCTCTACAGGCGGGAGGGTGTTGGGTGTCATGATCCACGGAGCCACGCGGAACACCACTTTGTCTGTGAATATGGGCGTCTCAGGAATACCCTGGAAAACCGTTAGAGAGGCTGTGGAGTTCTGCTGGTTTCCTGGAGAGATTTCCATCGTAATGTGGAATTTGGGTATGAATTTAGGCAGTTCTTACATCGCAGATGGGCTCCAACAGACTGAGGTTGATGGTGACCAGTCCATCAAAGTCCTTGTCGGGAAACCTGAGGCCCTCCACATAAAAGTTCAGCTCGCCTTCACCTCCAAGGTACGGCACTTCCTGTGAGAGGACCTCACGGCTCAGCACCAGAGGATAGTCCTTTGTGAAGGAACTGAACAGATTCTCTGTAGAAGAATGCAATAATAATAATAATAATAATAATAATAATAATAATAATAATAATCTTTTCTTAGTTTGTCTATTATTATTCACAAATAAATATTTAGTGTAGCGATTTTTAGCAGCTCGCATCATCTGTCTTTGGCTCATTTTTACTCACGCAGCATATTCTTTTCCACTTTGGAAGATTTAGACCGGAAAACTCGAACGGACTCTGCATCTCCCTGAGAGATGTGCATGGTGAGTTTGTAGCCTTCTGGGAGTTTAGCGGGACCTCTGGTCCGCAGAACCATCAGGGACATGTCCTTCAGATCTGAACAAGCACAAAAGGCGTCCAATATTTACCCCCACATAACAATGCATGATACGTCTGATGCTACCATGTGCAGAAACGATTTTTCCTTTCACAAAAAGTCCAATGTGACCTCTTTTTAAAGTGTGACCAGGTGATTGCTTACCTGACACTTTGGAGATGTGATCCGACTCACTGTCAGGTTTCTTCAGGTAAGTGGTCTCAGAGTCACAGTTAACCAAGAGGATCGCTCCGTGTCCATTAGGACCCCACTTCCAGGATCCCTGACAGTTATTTAACCAGCATTTCAGCCTCGTGAACAACAGGAATCACAAAAAGCTCTTTTATTTGTGTTTGAATGCAATCCAAATTACTCCAATCATTTATACTCTCAGTTTTACTACAGAAATTCTTTATTATCCAAAGGATTTTAATCAACACTGCTACCAATGTTCTGAAGAGAATGGAAAAGCCAAACTGCTTGAAGTGCAACAAGCCAAAAAACTACCATTAACCAGCTTCAAGTATCCAATGCAACCTATAATATTCACTGAAGAACTGTAATCAGCATGAATAAATAGTGGAGCTGCTTATTCTGGAGTATTCTCTTGCTTGGTAAGGCAAACAACTGACCCCTTTCATAAGATCAAAGTGAGAGAGTTGTGGACAGACATGAGGAAGGAGATGCATACAAAAAATCCTCAAAGGCTTTATGAATCCCTATGAGCACAGTCAGGTCTATAATGAAGAAGTGGCAAGCGTTTGGTACTTCTAGGACCCTCCCTCGATACAGTAATCCTTCCAAACTGGATGGAGTAAGAGTCTTTGGCTGATGGCAACTCTGAAGGAGTTATAGGACTTTAGGGAAAAAAGTGGCCCTTCTGTTCATGTAACATCGATTTCACAAGCGCCCCACAAAAGTGGCTTGCTTGTTCAGTAAGGTCACAAGGCAAAAGCCACTTCTCAAGAAAGGCCACATTAAAGCTGTTGAGCTTTGCCAGAATGCCCCTTGGAAATTTAGCTGCCAAATGGAAAAAGGTCTTATGATCAGTCCAGAATAGAACTATCTGGCCTCAACACCAACAGCACATCCGGAGTAAATCCAATGCAGCTCACCATCCTTGAAGAGAGACTAGGCAGTTTGTGCTTTCTTTTAGCATCCCCTAGCGTCCGTTTGAAGAACCAAAAGCGAGACCTATCTCCTCGCTGTGCATTTGTCTTTTTAACACCTTAATCTAACAGTTGAAATGCTTCCCAGCCTTCATTAGTGTCTAGAGGAGTGACCCATCACTAAATAAACACATCGGCTGTGTTTGTGATCTACAACATGCAGGAAACGTGTTGAAAGCAGACTGCAGTGCCAGGTATGTCAGCTCCATTTTTTTTTTCTAAGTCCAACAACAGACTAGCACTCTGAAGTTGCAAGTGGGATATTCTGGACACGGGGGTGATGGGGCTGAGTGGACTTTAATGAACCCTGAAAATGATCATTTTAGCACAAACGGGCTCAAGGTGGCAGCATCCTGTTTTTTTTTTTTTTTCTCTCTGCCTCAGGGACTGGAGCTCTTGTTAGGATTGAATGAAAAGGGGTCGGGCAAAATGCCTTCACATTTTTGAAGGAAAACCTGCTACCCACTGCCAGAAGGTTGGGCAGAAGATTCATCTTTCAACATGACAATGATCCAAAGCACACACCAATACTGAAGGAGTGGCTGAAGGAGAAAAAAGTGAATGTCCCCATGTGTCCCAGTCAGAGACCAGACCTAATCCCAATGAAAATCTGTGGAGAGATTTGATGATTACATTTTACCAATGCCTACCATCCCACTGGTCTGAATGTGAACGGTTCTGTAGAGAAGAGTGGGCAAATATAGCTCAGTCTAGATGTGCAGAGTTGATAAAGAAGAATCCCAACAGATTCAAGGCTTTCAAATAAAGCAAAAGGTGATCTAACTAATAATTGGCTTTGGAGGTGATTCTTTATTAATCTCAGTATTTCTTGTTTTTTTTAATGTCCTGTACTGTAATTATGATATTTTTAATGAATGTTATACGTTGCATTGGAAAAATAAAGGTGGTAAAGTATATTTTTGTTTGTGTTTCCATTTAAGGAAAAAAAAAAAGAAATGAAAGTGAGGTTCTTCACAGGAGGTGAGCCTTTTCTATACCCACTGCTTTACCTTCAGCTAAGGTATACTCAGGCGTTTCACCTCAGATGTGTTCAGGCAGCATGCTGAGCTATTTGATCCCCAAAAGAAAAAACTGTGAGAAAAACCTGCAAAAATCCAAACTCTGCTGCAGCATGTTCACACATGCATGGCAAAATTAGCAAAACGTGTTGAACACAAGGTTCTCACACCTCACTTAGCTGAACAGACAGAACTGACTTTATTATGAAAGAGCTGATTTAGTAGATGACCTTTTAGGCTCACCTTGTCAGGGTTGCTCTTCTCCACAGTGCCATCTCTGTCAGCATCCACATCCAAAGAGATCTCTGTGTGACACACAAATGCAGACAACCTCTAGTTCTGCATTATGTTAGAATATTATAATGTACTACACAAAGTCACTTACCTATAGCTGTCAGGTACAGAACTGCTTTGCCTATGACCTCTTTGTTTGTTCCGTAGTATTGAACAGACAGCTTGCAAACAAAGCGTGCTGCTGGTTATTTGAGCTGTTACACATTAAAACTAAACGGTACAGCAGGTGCAATCATAAATCTTCCTAAAGCTTCAGAAAAACCAGAAATTGCTTCGTTAGCTTATTTAACAAATTAAACTTTTTAAATCAACTTACATCCAGAATTTTCATCTCTGTTCAGTAAGGGAGTTTTCCTCTCCACTGTCACTACATGCTTGCTTAGTAAGAGGATTACGGAATTGATTCAAGTTGCTCATTCAGTGACAGCCTTGTGTTTCTGCTTACCTTGCTATCATTTTCAGACTGACTGGCTCTGCTCATGCTGATGAGCAGAGCAGAGTTGGGATTGAGAGGGAGAGGAGAGAGGTGGGATGTCTCCTGAGGCGGGGGGCTTAAGCTGTACTGAACATTGGGGGTGCAGTTCACCGAGAAGAACGTGGAGCTGGGGGGGGCACTCCTAAAACACGAGAACAAAAAGCAACCTGAATTATGAAATGGAGATGAACATCGAGCTTGTATTTTATAAGAGCTCAGGTGGCACACTGCACATTAGAAAATCAGATTTGATGTATGTACGTTCATGTGTTAGCATCTACTGTATGTGTGTGTGAGTACATGGATCCAGTGCATTGGGACAGACGGGGGAGGCGATAGTTTGGTTTATCCCATGTTGCCTTTTGTGTTTAAACTTTTGAAAATTTAATAAAAATACATTTAAAAAATAGAAAATCAGATTTTAATCTTAAAGTAGCACAAGAAAAAGAGCTCAGAATGTTACAAAAACCAGTTCAAGTCACCATTTTCCAAAGTTCCTGTTCTGATTAGAACTGACACACACAAAGCAACAGAGGATCCCATTCATCACATGCAGAAGTTGTTAAAGTTTTCAAGTTTCCATCACTTTGATTTAAGGTTAAAAGTTAGGTTTCTTTAAAGCTCACAGCCATCATAACCAAGGATGAATGACTTATGCTTCATTTAGCTGACAATCACCCTGGACTACCAGACTCAACATAGGCAATTTACACATTTACTTAAAAAGAAAATGAATGTACAACTAGGAATTGTAGGTTACACACTGACTTCTGAGTTTTCAAACTTGTTTATATGCTCTGAGTCTGTGCACATGTTTATAGTTTAGTCTCTCTCTCTCTCTCTCTCCCCGGGTGTAGTCAGAGATAGAAGGATTTTTATTCCAATATAAAAAGAAGATAGAAATAAAAACAAATATTTTCAAGAAAAAATAAAATAAACAGATATCAAGTCTGCAAAAAACAACAACAAATAAGAAACCTTTCATATTCTGTTTGATGAGGAGTAGGAAGAAGCCGATGTTTATTAAATCCTACTTCAAGTGACTCAACAAAAATACACACAAGTAAATGTTTATGTAATTAAATTGCTCTCCATGTCACAAGAACTCAGTCCACACACCAAGTCTCATTAAATAAACAATACTCCAACCTCAGCCATCAAAATACCACCATACAGAGTACTAAAGCTGTGTTAAAGTCCCATTAGTCATCACACACTGGTGGTGAAATGACATCTTCGCATTTGACCCATCCCTGTGGAGCAATGAGCTGCAGCAGAGGCTGTGGTGGTTTCACCCCCCAATCCAACCCCTAAAGCTGAGTGTCAAGCAGGGAGGAACTTGGCCCCATTTTGAAGGTCTTTGGTATGACCCGACCGCAGATTTGAACCCCGATCTCCCAGTCTCAGGGCGGACACTCAAACCACCACGCCACTGAGAAGGTCATCACATGATGTGATGTCATTGCATCATGTGATGATGGTCATTACATCATGTACTTTTGCAATAGGGCTTTTCTATATATATATTTTAATAGCTTTATATTCACAAAGTGTTTCTAATTCTCATCCATACTATTCCACAAATGCACTCCACAGACCGTTGTGCACATTCGCCTCAAGGTTGAACGTTCTTTGTGTTTTCTAGAATTTAGCTCTCTTCTTAACTCGCAACCTCTAAGAGAGAAATGATGTTTATTACTTTTGTCAGTATGAAACATGCAAGATAAAAATGTACTCAACACCCCTCTAAGGTGTTTATATTTGAACAATTCAATAAACAAATGGGGTTAATTATGATTAGGCTATTGTAAACAGTCCTAGAAATTAATTTACAGACAGAAAATGCTACATGATAAGGAATTTGTGAACTGAAACTGAAACCACAATTTTTCCCTAAACAGGAAAGAGAGGATAAGAACCTACCTGTTTAGGTTTACAGTGAGTTTTGAACGAACCACGTACAAAACCTGTGTATTTTTATCATAATCTACTCTGAGAGTCCTCTGATGAGCCATGGGTCTCCCTCTAATTCGGTCCAAAAGCCCCCAGCACAACCACTCCTGTCACCAGACGCAAACAGCAGACTGTTTATGGTCTGAGCTGAGGGTAGGCTGCTGAAGGCTGCAGGTAAAGGTGAAGCCTCTGGACGGTGATTGGTCAGTCACCACTGACCTTGCCCCCTCCCGGTCCATGCATCTATAATCCTACTTCCTTGACGCTCCCTGAGAGGTGATAAGACAATATTGGCATTTGCCCTGAAGACAAACCATTTACCTGCAGGTTTTAGTTAAACTTTAACAGCTTCCGTCTGCAGACGCATGAAAGCACAGCGGTGCGTGTTAAAACCAGCCCAGCGGTGCTCACAATCTTTCCTGAGCAGCAAATAAAGGCGGGCGACTGGATAAACATCTTTTCAGCATTTTGTGGCATATGAAACTGAACACCTTCAGCCGCAGCCCAGTCATGGTTGTTTACCTGCTCAGGTTTGCCTTCAAAGTGGTGCCAATGACATGAGTGACGCTTTGACGATTATCTGTGTCCAGGCGACATGTTCGCTGATATTCTGTCCTCTTTCCTTTTTGCAAGAATGCAGGAACTTCTGATGTTGAAGCGGTTTGAGAAATGTTTCTAAACATGTTTGACTGCTGGAGACTGAAAAGAAATGGGAGCAGCTGCAGTGTCCCGGGGAAGAGAATAGGTGTAATTTGATAACGGGGAGTTTTGGAGGCTCGTGTCTGGTTTGTAATTGGCAGTTTAGTATGAGAAAGTTCGTACAGAGCCGTCCTGTTCCAGGTAACCTTGTCTCCTGATTGGTTGGGCTCATAGGGGCTTTTGTTCTGAGCTTCCTCATTGTGAAGGTCGGAATATTTGCTACTTCGCTCAAATGGTAGTTTGATTTATAGCATCAAATACATTGTTTATTATTGCACAATAATGCATACATTTTCCAAAACATGAAAAATTGCAAAATTTGAAATTATAGAAAGATTCATATGGATTTTAAAATTGTATAGGGTACCTGAAAGGTTATATTTTAGATTGTTAGAAGTGACAAACATCAGCTTAACAAAAATTAACTAAAATCCCATGTAAAGACTGTAGTATTGTGGTCTATAATTTCAGCAAATAATGTTTAAATCAACTGCTCAGAATTGTTTTAGATTGGACGTTTTTTAAAGGCATACTGTGCAACTTTTACAAACTTTTAACTCGTTTTCTTGAGCCAGTATGTGCTAAAATTACCTTTGCAGGGTTAATGAAATGTCACTCAGACCACTACCGCCCTCTGTGGCCAGACAATTGCACTTGCAACTTCTGAGTGGTGGCTGCCACCTGTTGGACTTCAGGGGCAGATCTACAAGGGTGGCATAGGGGTGCAGTTGCCACCCTAAAAGAAAGCCTTGCCCCTTCTGACACCCCAGTTGGCAGCTATAAATTCAAGAAAAATCAAAGTTTTTCAACTCTCAGGCTCATAAAGACCTATTTGCCGTCTGCTTTGACAGAGAAAAGCTAGGCTGTACTCAGCATTGGATCAAAACAGGCAAAATCTTTGGATCTTGATGCATGTGTAAATTGTTTTGCTGAACAACATGGAAATTGCCGCATTCAGCTGTTGTAGGAAGGACATAATTTTATTATGTGTTTTATTTTTGTGATGGGCCTTTAAGCTTATTAAATGAGGACCCCAAACAAATACGAATATGTAAATACTGGGAAAAGAAAAAGGAAAACATGTTTCTGAGAGAACAATAAAACCAAAGTACAATATCTTGTAGCAGTGAAATATTTCTTTTATATTATATATATATGTGTGTGTGTATATATATATATATATATATATATATATATATATATATATATATATATATATATATATATATATATATATATATATATATATATATGTGTGTGTGTGTATATATATATATATATATATATATATATATATATGTATATGTGTGTGTGTGTGTGTGTGTGTGTGTGTGTGTGTGTGTGTGTGTGTGTGAGATTTACTATTGTGTTTACTGTATTTCAGAGACTTTTTAACACGGACAAATTAGTCCCACATTCTCCTCAACCTCTTCATACACTCACCACCTCTAAAGTCACATTTCCCATCATTTCCATTCATGAATAAAACACTTGCTGCATATCTTTTTTTTCATTCAGTCAAAGGTGAATAAAACATTTCCATTTTTAAGAGTTTTTCTGCGAGGTATTCTTCAAGATGCTCCGTGTCTGCCGCTAGATATCTTTGGCTTTTTTTTATGGCTTAATGGTGGTGCTGTTGACAAAAGCGGTGTCCTGACCAATTACAAGCTTGCGTTCTCCGTCTTTTTCGACGGATGTTTAGAAAAGTGGGCCTGACTCTATCTGTCCGTGCGAGCCTGCTGGAGAGCCCTAGCAAAGATGAATAATGACGTTGCATGTCTCTGTATCGACACAGACGCAGAGGCATAACTAGGCTTTCCAAATCAATAAATGCATTTTGTTAAAACAGGCTCCCATAGAAGGAAGCATTGTGTCTAATATGGCGTCACCCAGAGACTAAGACCCGCTCCCATTTATTTTAGATCCAATTTTTATGGCTATATGTTACAAAGCTGCCAATATTTTTCAACTGGGCATCGTTCAATTCATTTTCAACAACATTTTGATGGATATTTCCAGAGATTTAAGGTAAAAACTACACATTGTCACTTTAAGGTGGCAGGAGCCGTTTTTTCACAAGGCAGCTTTGTTTCATTCATGGATTCCATTCATTTTAACTTAAATTAGGGAAAACACTAAGTAAATTAGATCAATTAACCATAGATAACAAAAATAAAATTGGATAGTTGAAATAAATTTAAAGTAATATAAGAGGGCAAGGAAAAATTGTTTGGGTTAATAATAGGCCTATTTGTTTTGTTGAAGGGCTGGAACTAAATAAGTGTTATTTTGTTTCAACATTTTTGGGGTATTTAATTGAACTCACCTAGCTAAAGATGTTTATATTGGTATTCATTATTTTTCTGTAATTAGTTAGCATTATTATTATTGTTTAATTCATGTAGACATGGATATGCATTCTTAATATATTTAATACTAGTACCACTACTACCACTAATTTGTGTTTCTCCAAACTGAGGCTGTTCCAACAGCTATCTACAAAATATATATTAATTGTTCATATTCTTTCCACTGAGTTATACAAGATATAGGTCTCTTGAAACCACACATTTTTTATGGGGAAAACAAAGAAGACTGACATTTATGCAGCGTAATTTGGCGCAATTAAGCTGTAATGAATTAATTCAGATGATTCGTTTTAAAGCTCTTTAAAAGTTAAAAATCAAAAAAGTGGAAGAATGACCACAAGAAAAGCTGCAAATGTTCTGAAAAACTTATTTCCAGCAAGGTCTGGGGAAAGGAAAACACGTTTAGACGACTGTCCAATCAAATGGTAAAACATATTTGACGAGCGTAAGCTCTGACCAATAGGATGTCTGAAAACTTGCTGGAAAGGGGCGGAATCTTTAGTATCCTATGTCATCTCGGCGCTTTGTTTTTCTTTTGAAACAGAAGACGGGAAGAAAACATTTGTAATTCGCAACAAACCGTCCTGTTTAAGTGAACTTAACATTTAATTTCGTTCAGCATACCCTAAAATGCTGAAAATGTTTAATTCGATGTGATCAGTCTTTTGAAAAGTGGCGAATTTGTAGGAACAAAGACTCGAAGGTGTCCCGATTGGAGGAAGGAGGAATTCCAGGCGCTGGAAAGAAGGGAGCGAAATCTTTGCTAGGATGCTACCCGCAAGTTGACAAACACTGGATTACACGATTGACGCTGGCTTTGTGACGTTCTGAACCCGCAGTATGTGTTTATTAGACTGATATCCAGACCCGGGAATACTTCGGTGGGATTGTAACTGTTTAACTGTCTGTTTAGCCCGTAGCTAGCCACGTAGTTGCCTCAGTAGGAGGACATTTAAAATGGCGGATGGTTGGCCCATTCCCCCAGCTCTCCTCGTCATGCTGCTGAGTTTCAGTGCCTGGACCAGCGAGTCTTGTCCCTCCTTGTGTTCCTGTCCAAAAGGACAAGACGAGGTCCATATTCTGGACTGCAACAGGAAAAGGCTATCGACTGCTCCTCTGGACCCTCCGGAAGGAATAAGCCAAGTGTAAGTGGACATGTGTGTTTGTGTGTGTGCGTGCGTGCGTGTGTGTTTAGAATCATCTGCCCTGATTTTTACTATTATAAAACAATTTACGGATTTAGACTAATTTATTCCCGTCTCGTGCACCTTTCTGTTTACATGAAACTGGTTTGTTGTGTACATCTAGACTCAACGCTACTCCTGTCATGTTATGGATTTCACTTTGCAGGATGTTGAAGCCTCCAAACCAGTAAAAGTATATTTATGAAGCAAGTCGAGACAATAGTTAGTGGATTAACAACATTTAATGTAAACGTTGTATTCATTAGCTGTACTCTGAAGGTGTTGGATGAATTAGTTGTTTACATTGTAATATATAACGTATGCTGGTCAATAATTTTTTTAATGACCATCAGATACTAAGTTCATTGTTCAGAGAGATTAATGCTCTGTTTAATTTCTTTTCAGCACGTTGAATCACAATGAGCTGACTGTTTTCCCGTTTCTTGGAGCCGTTTCTTCAAATATAACATCACTTTCACTGTAAGAAAACCCTTTTTATTGTCTTGTTTTATAACAACGTAAACAAAGACCCAGTATTGCAGATCAACTGGGTTTTTGGATTGCCAGCCCCAATATGTAGAGGTCTCGGTCAGCCAATGGAGCATTTGTGCTGCTGTATTTTTTTAGGCCAATTTTCAAGCTTATCTGCATGCAAAATTTGCACCAATAACAACCGAGGATGCACACCATTTCTGATCCTGAATCAGTTTTTGAACACTGAATTTAACCAATCCTTCTATCTCAGTTCAGCGCCCTTCACAGTAATAAAAAAAATATTTAACCAAAAGTAAAGATGTATTACAGATGTGGAACACTGAAAAACATCATTAAAATCTTATATCTGTTTATCGATCCCACTTGAGTGTTTTATGCTGGCTGAACATGAAAATAGTCTCCTACTTCTATCTCCTCCATCAGCTTCTGATAGAAAACAGACAGTGGAACTCTAGGATTAGAAAATCCTGACAGATCTACGTCACACTGTCACTTAACACTTACGGACTCACCCATCTTGACTCACGACAGGAAAGGCTGTTGTTGGTTTAGCATCCAGGACATAGCAGAGAACGTGTTGGCTAGAAGAAGCTAACTGTTAGCATTAACAACTCCACCATACAGCAGAACTCCTCCAGGCTTGTGTCTTGTGTGGAGATGAAACATCAATGTTGCAGGTCAGTGGTAGTCCTGTTGCTGTTATCCAATCAGAGGTGAGATGTCTAAATATCAGGAAATACGACTCAAATCCTGTCATCTGTAGCTCAGCTGTGATGCGGCTCTCCTGTAGTTCCAGAAAATGGTGCACCAGTGCTTTGTTTCCCCAGAGAATAACTTACAACACACTAAGTCCTAATTTTTGTCTCACAGATGGGACATTGCAGACTTCCACGTCAAATCAGCATCTTTTTTGCAACACTTGTTCAATGTATATTCAACATCATTTGAAAGCTTTGATTCCAGTGATAAATTACAAACTATGATCCATGTATTGGTCTGTTCCTACTTGGTTTAACTCCTTAATAAAACCTTTTAGCCATTTATGAGTAAGACAGACTTAAACTTTCAATCAAGTTATTTAATTTATAAATCGTTTGATAACTGAATAAGTCTGGTGTCCTAAACAGTAAAATATACATAAATGAAGGGTTGTTTGGAGCTGCCAGCTGTGAGCCTCATTTAAGCTGACTATGATTAACTAATACCTAATTGTTTTTTATTTGCTCCAGAGTCCACAATCGGATCTCAGAGCTGAATATGCATCAGCTACAGCTCTACGCCTCTCTGGAAAACCTGGACCTAACATCTAACTCCATCTCTGAGCTCAAAGTTGGATCCTTTCCATCCATGCAGCTGAAATATCTGTAAGCAGTACCGTGCCATTAAATTAATCTACACCTCACTTTTCCACAAGGAAATTGGTGTGGAAGGATTAGTCTTATCATGTTGATAATAATTAGGGACGCACAATATATCAACATCAATATCGGTATCGGCCGATGTTAGTAATTTTTAAGGTATCGATTCGATAAGTAAAACAACCGATATTTTATCCGTCTTGTTTCTGTTTGTGTATCTGTTTCAGAGGGTTAAGGGGGTGGTGATGTGTAATTGTTTAGTCATTAGTGATGGTAATCATCTCAGAAGCATAAATGTGTGTGGTGTGTGTGTGTGTGTGTATATACAATATATTGCAAATTCCACTTCATAGAAATAAAGCAACACATTCAAAAATTCAGTTTGCATAATTTCAGTCTATACAAAATTAGCTGATTTCAGAAGAATAAATAAATCTCGGCAAATATCGGTTATCGGCCATAACAGTGATATTAGTATCGTTATCGGCCCAAAAAAATTCATATCCGTTCATCCCTATTAGTAATACCTCCATCTACTCAATGTTTTTACTACAGTAGAAGTTTTCTTCTTTAGCTTTGACTCTAGGTCTTCTCTTTGTTTCATCTGTTAGGAATTTGAGCAACAACAAGATCAGCATCCTCGAACCCGGCTGTTTTGAAAACATCTCCAGCTCTCTGTTGTTGCTGAGGCTGAACAGGAACAGATTAGCCGTGCTGCCACCCAAAGTCTTCAGACTTCCTCAGCTTCAGATCCTGTAAGTTTCAAACGAAGTGGTTTCATTAAACTCCCAGTCCTTCTCTAAGCATTAGTGCTTTCATTATGTGCCCTGTGTGGCTAAACCTTTGTTTAATCCTTTTGTAGTGAAATGAAACGTAATAAGATCAAGATAGTGGATAGCCTGACGTTTAAAGGGATGGACTCGCTGAAGTCACTGAAGATGCAAAGAAACGGCATCACAAAGCTGATGGACGGAGCGTTCTTTGGACTCAATAACATCGAAGAATTGTGAGTAAAATGCGGCAGTTTTTTTTAAAAAGCCACAGTGAGGGGAGAGAAGTTTGATATTAGCTCACAAGCTAAATATTCATCATGTTTCCTCTGCTTTTAAACAACAGCAAAAACCATATTTTTGTAGTGAGAATTGTTTTTTCCCCCAATCTTTTCAGAGAGTTGGAGCACAACAACCTGACCGAGGTTAATAAAGGCTGGCTGTACGGTCTCCGCATGCTGCGTATCCTACAACTCAACCACAACGCTATAGGCATCCTTCGACCTGACGCCTGGGAGTTTTGCCAAAAGCTGCAGGAGCTGTGAGTGTGTTTCTATCTAAACTCATCTTGGCTAACACACCCCACTTTTTCTGTGTGTTTACTGGATATGGGAATCTGGAGGTCTGATCAGTGTGTCATGCAGAAATGTCTTATCATTTAAGAGTAGCCTGGCAAGTCAGACTCAATAAATATATTATTTAGTCTGACAACCCTTCACTGACGGTTCTCTGTCATGGGGCGGGTTCTACCGTTGTCTTTTAAATGATCTCCGCCAGGGATGTAAGAAAATATCGATATTGAAATGTATCGTGATATTTTTCCCTGCGATATTAAATCGGTATTCAAAAGCTGTTCATCTAATTTGTGGAAGAATTTACATGCAAACATTTTTGTATTTTCTTTCAACATAAGTCACAAGCAGACACAGAAACAATGCCTACATGCAAAGGTCACGCTAAGTCCTTTCTGTTTTCATTTTGACCGACGGAGAGAAAAAAATACGGTCATGACCGTTTCCTCCTGTCATTTTTATTTCTCAAATAATAATAATAATAAAATCGCTATTTAATTTTTGTTAATTTTTCATTAATATTTAGTCTTTCAAAATGACCCGCGTGTCCAAAAACATATTAATGTTACAGTTAAACGATTTCTCTTAAGGTAGGAATAGTTTACTTGCCGCGCAGTGGTTCTGCTGCTGGCCTGTGACCCGCAGGCGGAGCTGCTCTCACAGCTCCTCGGCGCTCTGATAGCGAGCCGCTGATCACGGTGTCCAAGTCTGAGATAATGGCTAGATGTTCTGATTAGGGCTGGGCGATATGACGATTTTAGACCGTTTTACGATCTACACATCTGACGGTCTGTCATTTTTGAGAGACCTTTTTATCACGATTCACAGCTCTGCTGTTGAATTTCTGCCTCTGAATGAAAAGGGAACTTACCTCAGGCGAATTACACGCCTTTGTTTGACCCTTAACCAATCAGAGTGAGTCATAGTAATATATTAGTGCCCCGCTTGTTTTCACTTGTGTGTGAACAAACATGGCTTCGGCCGCGGCTGAGAGCGACAACGAGGTTTTCGTTCCGAAGAGGAACGCCTCGTCCATTATATGGAACTGGTTTGGTTTTTCACCAGATGACAAAGAGCAGCGAAACGTCATTTGCAAAGTTTGCAAGGAGAGCGTCAAGGCAAGTGATGGCAACACCACAAACTTGTTTAATCACTTGAAAAGAAGGCATCCCAAACAATACAATGAGAGCCAGCTGGCAACTAAAGCTAAAAAGCTTGCGGCTGCAGCGGCTAGTGCTTCTTCCAGGCAGCAAACGCTAACAAACACTCACAAAACTCACTCCCTACGACAGAGACAGCAGACGATGGAACAGCGTGACAGATGCAGTGACGTACCACTTGGTTAAAGATTTGTGTCCCGTGTGAACAGTAGGAGTGGGATTTAAGAACATGATAAAAACATTGGATCCGCGCTACGAGTTTTCCAGCCGCAAGTATTTTTCGAACACCGCCCTTCCACACATGTACGCTGAATGCAAAGTGAGAGTTGCAGAAAATATTCAGAATGCACAGTTTTTTGCTACCACAAGCGATCGCTGGTCCAGCCGCACATCAGAGCCGTATTTGAGCTTAACTATCCACTACATGAGCAACTGGGAGCTACATAGTATTTTGAACAAGTTAATGTTTGCACAATACGTTTGCAATTGACATGTTTGCACTTAAAATATGTTTACGATTTTAATTTATGTTAAGTTACTTGAAAAACGAGAAAAACAGATTTTTGTAATTGTTTCTCTCAGGGCTTTTATCATCTCTGGTTTGAGTTTAATATATAAGTGTGTTAGCACTGTGTTGATTATCCCTAATATGAATAAATGTTCATTTATTCAATGTTTCTCTTCTTTAATACACAATTGAAGTTATGCTATTCATGGATAAAAAATCATGATAAAATCTAAATTGTGATAAAATATTGGAAAAATCGTGATATTCTATTTTTGCCATATCGCCCAGCCCTAGTTCTGATGGGAATCTTTACTTGGTTGTTTTAGTCACCTCCGCGATGTTCTCTGCATAATGGTGAAAATGTCTGCTCACCTGTAAGCGTCGGGGTAATTTCTGTCTGTCAGAATGACCAACATCCTTGAGATTTTTCCGTCAAAATGAAAGGTCAAATACCGAAAATATCCGGTTAACGCGATCCCTACCTACATTTAACATTTTTGCCTTCTTGTGACGATAGCATGGCAGCCCTTCACACAACAAGCATGTACCAGTTTCTGCAGGTTTATAAGCTCACAACACAAAACAACCAACACTTCCTTTGTTTATACACCTAGCTATCCCATCATGCAACGCGCTACAGCACCCAATAAGTCATCTGACAAGGACCGATGGACTGTTCCTAGACCGAACGTTGCAAAGCAAGGATTTGGTCAAGTTTACGAGGCTAATCCAAGCGTTTCATGACCCTAAAATAGAATTAAAACAATTTAACAGATTTTTTTTGCCCCTTTCTTTTTGATGACTTTGTGTAGGGACTTGTCCCACAACCACTTGACCAGACTTGAAGAAACCGCTTTCACAGGACTAGGTCTCCTGCAAGTCCTGAACCTGGGAGAAAACTCCATCAGCCACCTGGGGGAGGGAGTGTTCAGTGGCTTCGTGAGTTTGCTCACATTGTAAGTATTACGCCTCACAGAAACCTGCCTTAAATGGGCAACGAGTAATTCTTCTACGCAAAGCATTGAATCTGAGTTTGTTTAATGTAACTGAGCATCGACTCACTGTTGGCTTTCATTTTCATAAAGACTGCTGAGGACAGCAGGTCTGTCTTATTCCAGGTGTTTGTGTGTATTTCTAGTTCTGTCTTGAGTATGTTTTCATAGAATTTCTTATTAGTTTGGAGAAAGCGTTGGAGATAATTGTTAAATCTTTATCTTCTCATGTTGTCTTTGTCATGTGTTAACGCTGTCTGTCAGTAGTTGTTTCACTTGTCCTTTAATCACCCGGTTTGTAGTTTTGTTTTTCTTCTCCTGCTTTTGTATCATTTGTATTGAAGTAGAGAAGAGCGCGGCGGTTCTTTGTCAGCCTGAAGAGGTGGTTTAATGCTCAGCATGTATTAACATTTAATGAATGTGGGTTTCTACTAAGTAGACTCTGATGGATTAAGACTGCATATGCTGTCCTAATCAGGACTAATGGGATGTTTGGCTTGCCATAAGAGCTGTATATGTGTCACATATGTGGAACATGAGGTTTCTATTCCTCAGCTGATTATTTAAACATCTGTAGATTACAGTAGGAACATTAGTGTTTAAACAAAGTTTTGGTTCACTGAGAAACTAATGTTTTTTTTTTTCTCTTATTACGATTGTTCACTTTCACGTGCATGCTGAACCTGAACCTTTTCTTCAGCCTGTGTTGCCTGCTTTAGCTGCAAAAAGTTGAGAAAAGATTGGGTCACAAAAGGCCAGTTCCTTCCTGAAACAAGAGCGCAAGTGCAGCTAATTTACTGGAAAAACGAGTGACAGGGAGCTTTAATGGAATGTCGGCCTAAGGTAGTATTTGTAAACTGAAAAGTGCTAAACAAAATTTATTTGCTACACTGAATCTCATTTAAGTCCCTGAAGTGGAAAGAAGACCAGGGGATGTATTACAGGATGGTGACAATGCTGCAGATGTCCATGGGAGAGGGGCGTTTGAGTGTCGGACATCTTTCAGAGGCGGTCAGGCGTGAGGAGAGTAAAACAAAAGAGCGAGTGACCCATCCTGTAAAGAGAAGGCCTCTGCGGGTTCACAATGAACAGCGCCAAACGGAGCCAATTATTTCTCCTCATCAGAAGCAGGAGCATCAAAGTTTGACAACACAAAAGAACGCGGTCTCTGATAGTTAGGATCAAAGAACGATCCCTACTGGCAGAAAATATCGCGTTCATTGTGGTGTTTCCAGGAGAAGCCTTCAGATGTTCTGTCTGTTCTACGTGTTTTATATCTAACATGAGTCTCTTTGCTTCTCAGAGATATCCGTAATAATGAAATCTCCTGGGCTATCGAGGACTCCATTGGTGTTTTTGATGGAATGAAGAAGCTGAACACACTGTGAGGACTTGGGTTTTATAATGTTTTTTACATGTTAACGTCTTTCAGATTAATATTTACATGGGCTTCAGACTCTTTAAACTCTATTTTATTTTCTAATGTTAAAGGTTTTTAATTTAAAAGCCATTTCCCTTTTCCATTTACAGGGTAGTTAATTTGCTTTTCAGTGTTTTTCGTGATTTTAGAAATGGTAGTTTGATGCTTTAAAGGGGCATTATGGAAGTTTGACAGCCAAAACATGTATAGAAATAATAAATTTCTTCTTCAAACATTCTCCTGCAATGCCCTGGTCGTGCAGAATGAGCCCTGGCATTTTTATTGTGATTGCCTGTTTTTCTGAGCTGCTCGGGTCGAGCAGGCTGCTTCATGCGCGTTCACGCTCAGGCATAGCCCTCCGAACTGTTCTTTAAACTTTTTTCAGCTGTCATCAAGGATATAAATGTTACAGATACAGAAGATGCCACTGGTGCTTTAGCTCACCTAATAAGACTTGGGGCTTCCACGCAGCAGACCCGGGTTCAATTCTGGATGTGAACATAGTTGTTTTTTAGTTTCTTTTTTTCATTAATGGTATATTTTTTTACAGTAAGATGCCCAAATTTTTATTTGAGACTCGCCGAACGGCTTTGAAAAAGATGTGGGTTCAACTTTCATTTTGGAACAATTTTTCAAGCAAGGGAAGGGAATGATCTGAGCATGCAGGACTGACCCATCTTAAACCTTTGTCGGCTGTGCTGAAGAGAAAGGTACAGAATCAAATTATTTTATTAATTAGCTGCTCTGTCCTCTGTCCTCCGGGCCACACATACACACAAGGGACTGTCTCAGCTGTTATTTTCGGTAAGGAGTGTGCACGTACAGCACGCGCGCCTCGTGCACGACGAGTCTACTATTGAAGCTGCCGTTACGCTTTTGGCCTGAGGGGGCAATCGCGAGTATAAAAATTCAAAACTCCGTAAAGTCCCTTTAATGTCAGAGTGTGATTAAAACAAATATTTAGAGCAGATTTCATGATTTATGCATTTTACTTTGCAGAATTTTACAACGGAACAAAATCAAATCCATCACTAAGAAAGCATTTGAAGGCCTGGAGGAACTGGAGCACCTGTGAGTCGCACCAGAAGTTATCGTAACTCTGCACATTATTTTTATTTTTATTTTAGAATGAATAAAAACAATACCTCATGAATTGAAGGTGAAACCGTTTTGACCAGATGTTTTTTGTATTTGTGTTTAATCCCCGTTCCTGTTTTGTGTGCAGAGACCTCAGCAAGAATGGCATCATGTCCATCCACCCTGAAGCGTTGACTCATGTCAAGCTCAAAGTTTTGTAAGCGCGCTCAGTGAATCTCACATGAAGCTCTGATTTAGTTTATGCTCTTCATCTGCTCTTGCTATTATTACTATAATTTAAAAATGAGGTATGATGTTTGAGAAACTCCAGTTAATGATTTTTATTGGGTCAGTCACCCCCTTTCATTTATGGTCATATGTTGGATAGTTTCACTGGTAACACATTTTTCCAGGTTGGTAGGGGGAATCAGACTGTTCTCTTTCAGTTTTGAGCTGCATCTGCATGCACTTACTTGGGACAGCTATATCCTCCACGTGAGGAAAGTCGGGGGTAAGATCTGGCCTATTAAAGGTTTTATCAGCACATTCTAGAAATGTGTCTCGAGCTGTGGTCGATAAAATGTCCCAGAGGCTGCCAAACGCGCATCTGTAATTAGGCAGCTGCTTGTATAGTTGTAATCTCATTCTAATTAGATGAAATCTCTTCTGCTGAAAATGTCGCTTGAAGTGAATTAAGATAAAATCCTTTAATTTGTAGTTGCACCCGGGAATGACTGAAGAAAAACTCATTCATGTAGGCTGGACTATTGCAGTGGCCTTCTGTCGGGTCTTCCCAAACAACAAGAACTAGGAGAGCTGAGCACATCTCTTCAGTGGTTACCAGCATACTACAGAATCCATTTCAAAGTGTTACTGCTAGTTTCTAAACCTCAATGGCATTGGGCCAAAATGCATGTTGGATCTCCTTCCAGTATACACACCCAGCAGGGCTCTGGGATCCTTGGGAAGCAGTCAGCTGGCAGAACCAGGTCAGAACCAAATAGGGTGAAGCTGCTTTTAGCTACTATGCTGCTCTCAGATGGAATCAGCTCCCTTATGACCTCAAATGTGCCCCAACTCTAGAAACTTTTAAATCCAAATGAAAACACTTTCATGTATTCATCAGCCTATGAATGAGTGTTTCTTATGCTGCACCTCGCTCATTCTTTATCTTTAATTAATGTGTGTTTTTAATGGTCTAAATTCCAAATAATGTGGTTGAATTATAAAGTTTTAACCATGTTCGACAACCTGCGGTACAAATTTACACACAAATTCAAGGTGAAGTGTACTGAGAAACTTATATGTATTATTTTTTGGAAATAGATTGAGTAAATAATCGGGGTGTAATAGTTCACAGGGGGTGTTGAACCGTTTAGGTTCGGCCTGTTTGGTTCAGTCCACTTGCGTATCGTTTCAATTTATTTTTTCCATTAAACATTGAATTTTTATTTGCGTGATTTAAGTGCAGCAGGTAAAAGTTCCTAGGCACGATGGCTGCACGCGCCCGATCTCCGTTTATGAAACGTGATCTGCAAATTGTGATCAACGCCTTTCAGAGCGGCTCAAACCAGCTGGCTGTCGCTGCAACTGCAGCCTGTAGAGACGCTGAACGGAGCGTTGCTTCGCCCCTCCCTCCCTTGTCTCACACTGTGCAGACACACAGCAGCAAAAATATAAACAAACATGTCTGCTGAACTTTTCCCCTGTGACAACTGATGTCAAGTTTTCATCCTACAACAAAAAATGTGGCGCAGAGGAAGCTTGTTTTTTAATAAGAGTTTTAAAGAAGAAACTGAGTGGTGTGAGGTGTTTTTAAGGCTCGCTGCAGAAATAAAAACACGGAGCATCAACAGTCAAACACAACACTTGTCTGTAGGAGCGTGAAACTCATAGCTGCACAAATAACCTGTGAAATAATTAAAGACGTCATGCTAGATCAGCAGCCTGTATCTGGATCTGCTCAGTATAGGAGCCGCTTCAGATATATTAAATAAATATAATAATAAAATACCGAAAATTAATCAAACCGAGCCCTTAAAAACACTGAACTGAACCGAATACGATTTTAGCGTACCGTTACACTCCTAGTAAATAACATCCGAGTTTCACATGCAGACTGAACATGGGGTTAAGGTTAGTCTTCCACCCCTGTGTCCTGCATTAGCTGCTCAAAGACAAGATGAGGGGAAATGCTCGGATTAGAAAAGCCACTCAGATCTACGTCTCGTTGTTACGTTAACATTCATGGACTCGCCCGTCTTAATTCACGACAGGGAAGGCTGTTGTTGATTTATCATCCAGTAGAGAGTAGAGCATGTGTTGGCTAGTAGAAGCTAACCGTTAGCATTAGCAGCTCCATAATATGACAGAACTCCTCCAGGCTTGTGTTATTTATAAATATAAAGCATCAACGTTGTGGAGCAAACAGAGTCAGTGGTAGACGCTTGTTGCTGTTAGCCAATCAGGGATGTCTGAATATCAAGGATAAAAGAGTAAAACTCACAATTCTGCCAACTTCACAGTTGCTGGTCTGGTCTGTTGGGACTTAAAAATGGAGCTGACATACCTGGTGCTGCAGTCTGCTTCCAGCAGGTTTCCTGCATGTTTTAGATCATGAACACTGCTCATTTGTTTAATTTAGTGATGCATCACTCCTGTGGACCCCAAAGAAAGCTGGGAGACGTTTCAGATGTTAGATGAAGGTGTTTCCCATTTAAACATCTTTTTTTTTTCTTTCTCTTTTTAGTTTTTGTTGCTGGACACATTTTTACGATGCATTCTCATAGGAGTTGTCTGGTCCCACCTTCACTCAAGTCTTATGTGTAGTAATTTAAATAAAGTGAAGAAGTGAGTAAAATGCCTCATTTGTTTAATAATGAGCCGATTTTTCTAATAGCAGATATATTCTCCCCCCAGTGTGCTGAACACCAGCAGCCTGCTGTGTGATTGCCATATGCAGTGGTTGGGTCCTTGGTTAACAGAGAGCCAGTTCCAGCACTCTGTCCTAGCTGTCTGCGCTCATCCTGCTAATCTTTTCGGCCGCGCTGTTCTGTCCATCAGCCCGGATGAGTTTGTTTGTGGTCAGTAGAAAATTTCTCGTGTTTCGACACAGTTCTCGGAGACGCTATTCGAAGTGCTTTATGTGTTTCCTTTTGCTCCTGTGCAGATGATTTCCCCAAGCCTCAGATCACGGCTCACCCTGAGACATTTGTAGCATTACGGAGCAACAATGTGACTCTGAGCTGCGTCGCGTCCAGTAGCAGCAACTCACCAATGACCACTGCATGGCGGAAGGACGGGGAGGTGCTTTATGATGCAGAAGTGGAAAACTACGCCCGTTATCAGGAAGGAGAGCTCATCTATACTGCTTTGCTTCACCTGCTGAACGTCAACTTCACCGACGAGGGGCGTTACCAGTGTGTTGTCTCCAATCACTTCGGCTCCAATTACTCCAACAGGGCCAAGCTTACTGTCAACGGTGAGATGGATTCTTATTTCCTAAGAATTAGTTAACTGTTGTTTGTTATGGTTTTCGCCTGGCACGTTTGGTTGTACCAATGAAAAGTCTCAGGAACGAGTGGTAATTTTCAGTGAAGTCATTGATTTTTTTTTTTTCTGTTATGCTTGTGATGTGACTTCTAAGACCTTTTGACCCCTAACTCTAGCTTGTCTGTTATGCCTTACAGAGATGCCCTCCTTCCTTAAAATTCCGATGGATCTAACGATTCGCACTGGGACCATGGCCAAGCTGGAGTGTGCTGCAGACGGCCATCCATCGCCACAGATCGCTTGGCAGAAGGATGGAGGCACTGACTTTCCAGCTGCCCGGGAGCGCCGGATGCATGTGATGCCGGATGATGACATCTTCTTTATTGCTAATGTTAAAACGGAGGATATGGGAGTGTACAGCTGTACAGCTCAAAATGCTGCAGGAAGTCTGTCGGCGAATGCTACGCTTACTGTACTGGGTGAGTCACCCTGCTGATTAAAAGGTGTCCTACTGGAACCCCGCACACATCACAATGCTCTAATGAGATACTTGTTTATGTGCTGCTCTAAAACCTACATGGTCATTTCAACTAACTAACTCTTCCTGGCTGCAGCATCCCAGACACATCTGTTCATGCGGTTACTGGATGTTTTATAAACTTTATTTCAGTGCATATGTAACAAACCTCATCTGACACGTATTCATTAGAAGTGGCAACAGCTAACATGGATAGGTCATGGATCAAAATTGATTGAGTCCTTCTGTCTTCCAGAAACTCCATCCTTCATGCGATCTCTAGAAGACAGAACAGTGGCCCACGGTGAAACGGCGGTGCTTCAGTGCATAGCCGGAGGCAGCCCGGCTCCACGACTCAACTGGACCAAAGACGATGGGCCTCTGGTTCTTACAGAGCGCCACTTTTTTGCTGCAGCCAACCAACTCCTCATCATTGTTGATGCTGGACCAGCCGACGCTGGGAAATACACATGCATCATGTCTAACACCGTTGGTACAAAACGTGGTCACATCTACCTCAGCGTCTCGCCGTCTCCTAACTGTGACACGGGGTCACAAAGCTGGACTATTGTGGGCATCGTGGTGATCGTCGTGGTGTGTTGTGTAGTTGGAACGTCGCTGGTTTGGGTTATTGTCATCTATCACATGCGCCGGAAGAGTGAGGACTACAGCATCACCAACACTGGTTAGTTTCATCATAAAGAGCCACTTTAGAATGTAACAGCTCTTTGTATTTATTCGAGGACAAAAATCACAAGATGTTTCAAATGTGTGTGTGTGTGTGTGTTACAGATGAGATGAATTTGCCAGCAGATATTCCCAGCTACTTGTCCTCTCAGGGAACGTTGTCGGAGCCTCAGGAAGGCTACAGTAACTCCGAGGCCGGCAGCCACCAGCAGCTCATGCCTCCACTCTCCAACGGATACATTCATAAAGGCACGGATGGTGGGTAAACTTTACGGCCAATCTGTTTAGTTTTCTGACCTTTTTCTTTTTTCGTCGCTGGTGAAGTTGCTCTGGTGTCACCATTAATTATAATGTTGTTACCATCAGCATTGTTTTTGTGTCTGTGCTGTTCTCACTGAGTCCTTCACCGAGAAACTTTTTTTTTACTCATTTTTCAAAGTGATTGGTCACTCTGAGTTTAACCTACAGTGGAGGAAATAATCGTTTGACCCCTCGCTGATTTTGTAAGTTTGTTCAATGATAAAGAAACAGTATAATGTTAGTGGTAGGCTTATTTTAACAGTGACAGATAGCACATCAAAAGGAAGATTGAAAATAACTTTAAAGAAAAGATAGAAACTGATTTGCATTTCATTGAGTGAAATAAGTATTTGAAACCTCTAAAAAAGACTTAATACTTAATGGCAAAACCCTTGTTTGCAAGCACAGAGGTCAAACGTTTCTTGTAATTGATGACCAGGATTGCGCACATTTTAGGAGGAATTTGTTCATTTTGTTCATTGATTAAACAGCTTTCACCATCAAAATCAAACTTTTCAAACTTTTTGCCATGTTATATTGTCATTTCCTCATAAGAAATACTTCCAAACTCCTTTTTTGTCTGCATTCATGCATTTTCCTCCTGTCTCAGCTTCAATTAGCTCGATGTAAAGATTATTTCTGCAAATGAAAGAAAGACTGCCAAATTTTTGTGGCATTTCTCCTCTCCCTGAAGCAGGTCTGGTCCTGAAACCTGGAAATTCTGTAGATTTTCTGACAAATTACTTCTACTGGGACACCGCCAAAAAAAAACATGCATACCATCTACAAAGACTCACTGGGTGGCACATGACATATATGCTAGGCGCTAGTGACTTAGGATTTAGTGGAGAAGTGGTTATGGTGTCAGACTGGCATGTAGTTTTGCGCAGGTTTGCCTCTCGGTAGCAGTGTAACCTTTTTTTTCTAGCTACACTTGCCAGTATTATGTTTTCAAACCTTTATTGGTAAACTGTTTAAAATATATGGACTAATCTGTTATTTGTATATTTTTTTACTTTCTTTGTTTATTTAGCCAGTTTGCGTCCTTGTGTGAGCAGAGTATTAACTTAAATGCTGCTTAGGAACGAACAAGTTCAAAGAACTTTTAGAGACATTAAATGTCATTGTCGTCGTCTTCCTCCGCTTATCCGGGTCCGGGTCGCGGGGGCAGCATCCCACCTAGGGAGCTCCAGACCGTCCTCTCCCCGGCCACCTCCACCAGCTCTTCCGGCAGGGCCCCAAGTCGTTCCCGGACCAGATTGGAGATGTAACTTCTCCAACGTGTCCTGGGTCGACCCGGGGGCCTCCTGCCGGCAGGACATGCCCGAAACACCTCCCCAGGGAGGCGTCCAGGAGGCATCCTGACCAGATGCCCAAACCACCTCAACTGACTCCTTTGGAACCTTAGGAGCAGCGGTTCTACTCCCGAGCCCCTCCCGAATGTCCAAGCTCCTCACCCTATCTCTAAGGCTGAGCCCGGCCACCTTACTGAGGAAACTCATTTCCGCCGCTTGTATCCACAATCTCGTTCTTTCAGTCATTACCCAAAGCTCATGACCACAGTTGAGGATTGGGACGTAGATCGACCGGCAAATCGAGAGCCTGGCTTTCTGGCTCAGCTCCTTCTTCACCACCACAGATCGGCTCAGCATCCGCATCACTGCAGATGCTGAACCAATCCGCCTGTCGATCTCCCGATCCCTCCTACCCTCACTCGTGAACAAGACCCCGAGATGGTAGGACCTCTCTCCCGACCCGAAGTTGGCAAGCCACCCTTTTCCGGTCGAGAACCATGGTCTCAGATTTGGAGGTGCTGATCCTCATCCCAGCCGCTTCACACTCGGCCGCAAATCTACCCAGCAAGAACTGGAGGTCAGAGCTGAATGAAGCTAGGAGGACCACATCATCCGCAAAAAGCGGAGACAAGATTCTCCTGCCACCAAACCCAACACACTCCACACCACGGTCCATAAAGGTAATGAACAGAACTGGTGACAAAGGGCAGCCCTGGCGGACTCCAACCCTCACCAGGAACAAGTCCGACCTACTACCGGCTATGCGGAAACTCACGCTCCTCTGGTAAAGGGACTGAATGGCCCTTAACAGAAAGCCACCCACCCCATACTCCTGGAGCGTCCCCCACAGGGTGCCCCTGGGGACATGGTCATAAGCCTTCTCCAAATCCACAAAACACATGTGGTTTGGTTGGGCAAACTCCCATGCCCCCTCCATCACCCTTGCAAGGCTATTGAGCTGGCCCACAGTTCCACAGCCAGGACAAAAACCACATTGCTCCTCCTCAATCTGAGAATCAACTATCGATCGGACCCTCCTCTCCAGTACCTTGGAGTAGACCTTTCCAGGGAGGCTGAGGAGTGTGATCCCCCTATAGTTGGAACACACCCTCAGGTCACCCTTCTTAAAGATGGGGACCACCACCCCAGTCTGCCATTCCACAGGACCTGCACCCGATGACCATGCAATGTTGCAGAGACGTGTCAACCATGTCAGCCCTACAACATCCATAGCCTTGAAATACCCAGGACGAATCTCATCCGCCCCCGGGTCTCCGCCGCTGTGTAGTTGTTTGACTACCTCAGCAACTTCTGCCCCCGAGATTGGACAGTCCATCCCCAGGTCTCCCGGCTCTGGTTCCTCCTCGAAATGCGCGAAGGTGGGATTGAGGAGCTCGTCAAACGTATTCCTTCCACCATCCGACTATAGCCCCAGTTGACGTCAGCAGCTACCCATCTCCAGTGTAAAAAGTGTGAGCGATTTGCTGCCTTCCTCTCCTGAGGTGCCGGACAGTTTGCCAGAACCTCTTTGGAGACGATCGATAGTCTTTCTCCATGGCTTCACCAAACTCCTCCCATGCCCGAGATTTTGCCTCGGCAACCGCCACTCCTGCACCCTGCTTGGCTATCCGGTACCTGTCTGCTGCCTCCAGAGACCCACAGACCAGCCACGCCCTGTAGGCCTCCTTCTTCAGCCTGACGGCTCCCCGAACTCTGGTGTCCACCAGCGGGTACGGGGGTTACCACCACGACTGGCACCGGCCACCTTGCGACCACAGCTAGCAACAGCCGCCTCAACAATCGCAGAGTGGAACAAGGCCCACTCGATGTTAATGTCCCCCACTGCTCTCTGTACGCGGTCAAAGCTCTGCCGGAGGTGGGAGTTGAAGACCGTCTTGACAGGTTTTTCTGCCAGGCATTCCCAGCAGACCCTCACTATGCATTTTGGTCTGCCAGGTCTACGCGGCATCTTCCCCTGCCATCTGATCCAACTCACCACCAGATGGTGATCAGTTGACAGCTCCGCTCCATTCTTCACTCGGGTGTCCAAAACATACGGCCGCAGGTCAGATGATACGACTACAAAGTCTATCATCGACCTGCGACCTAGGCTGCCCTGGTACCGAGTGTACCGATGGGCATCCTTATGTTCGAACATGGTGTTTGTTATGGCCAAACTGCGGCTTGCACAGAAGTCCAATAACGAAACATCACTCGAGTTCAGATCAGGCGGGCCGTTCCTCCCAATCACACCCCTCCAGGTCATGCTGTCATTGCCCACACGAGCGTTGAAGTCCCCCAGCAGGACAATGGAGTCCCCTGATGGAGCACTATCTAGCACTTGTCCCAGGGACTCCAAAAAGGGTGGGTACTCTGATCTGATATTTGGCCCATGAGCACAAACAACAATCAGGACCCGTTCCTCGACCCGAAGGTGCAGGGAAGCTACCCTCTCGTCCCCCGGGGTAAACCCCAACACACAGGCAGAGAGTCTTGGAGCTAACAAAAAGCCAACCCCAGCCCTCCGCCTCTCACCGGAGCAACTCCAGCAAAGGAGAATATCCAACCCCTGTCAAGGACTTGGGTTCCAGAGTCTATGCTAAATGTCGAGGTGAGTCCAACTATATCTAGCCGGTACCGCTCAACCTCCGCCACAAGTTCCTGCTCCTTCCCTGCCAGCGAGGTGACGTTCCATGTCCCAAAAACCAGTTTCCTTGTCCGGGGATCGGACCGCCAAGGCTCCCGCCTCGGTCTGCCACCCGATCCACACTGCACCGGACCCTTCATGTTCCTCCTGCGGGTGGTGGGTCCACAGTTGGATGAGCCCATGTATCCGGTTCGGGCTGGGCCCGGCCGGGCCTCATGGGCAAAAGCCCGGCCACCAGGCGCTTGCTCACGGGCCCCAACCCCAGGCCTGGCTCCAGGGTGGGACCCTGGTAACCCTCCAGGCCGGGTACTCCGACTCTTTGATTGTACATCCATGAAAGATCCTCTGAACCGTTCTTTGTCTCACCCTTCACCTAAGACCAATTTGTCATGGGTGACCCTACCAGGTGCACAAAGTGCCCCAGACAACATAGTTCCTAGGATTATTAGGGCACTCAAACTCCTCCACCACGATAAGGTGACGGTTCAAGGAGGAGAGACATTAAATATTTTGCAGAAAATAATAAATGAAACTTGAGATTTTTAGTCTTAACGTAAACATCCAGGAGCATTCTGTTACTCTGCAAACCCTAGTCAGATAACATATAAGAAAATATTTTATTACCACACGTACATTTTAATCCACATCTGCGGATTTTTCATCACGTTTTCAGACCCTCTAGTGTTTTACCCAGACTTTGGATTTGGCTTCATCCAAAAGACAGCAAAGCTTCTGATGTTGACATCACAAAGAATAACGACAGCTTATCAAGCCTGCATTTAATATCAACAGATACTGACAATAACATACGAACAATTGATGGATTTTGAATGTTTTTAATAAAACATTTCTCTATGACGTGTCATTCAGTGTTTCGACACAATGCCTTGCCCAGTGGGTGCTTTTTGTGTGTTTTGGATCATATCCCTGTGGAGTGAAATGTTAACTAATTACCGTGTTTGTCCCAGGATTGTACTACGGAGACACGAGTAGTGAGGTGGAAACTGAAAGGAATGGCATGCTGCACTGCAAGATGGGCTCTCTGTTCACCGGCCGTAGCAACTTTCATCCTGTGGAGTCCCAAGAGGGATTAGTGGGAGCCTCCTCTGGTTTGTTATCATCTTATTTCGTTTATTTACTTTCAGTGTTTTTTTAAACTGCGACATTTATCTACTGTTAACTTTTAAAAAAATTCACTAGAGTTTCCTTTTTTAAACGCTGTCTGGCCCCAAAAAGGAATACTTCCTCTGATCCTTCATCCAGCTGCCAACTCCTACAACACACTATAATATTTCAGTGGACTGCCTTTAGCTTTGATTACGACACACATTTGCTGTGGCGTTGTTTCAATAAGCTTCTGCAATGTCCAGATTTTTTTCCATCCAGTGTAGCATTAATGTTCCACCAAGATCTTGCACTGATAATGGTAGAGTCTGACCGCTGCACAAAGCCTTCTCCAGCACATCCCAAAGATTCACCATGGGGTTAAGGTCTGGACTCAGGACCACTCTTTCACTTTCTGAGCCTGATGAATCCTGGCTTTGTCATCTTGGAATATGGCCGTGCCATCAGGGAAGATGGAATAATCTGGTCATTCAGTATATTCAGGTAGTCAGCTGACCTCATTCTTGGAGCACATCCTGCTGCTGAACCTAGACCTGACCACCTGCAGCAACTCCAGATCATAACACTGCCCCCACAGGCTTGTACAGTAGGCACTAGGCATGATGGGTGCATCACTTCATCTGCCTCTCTTCTTACCCTGATGCACCATCACTCTGGAACAGGGTCCATTTGGACTCATCAGACCAGTTTTTAATTAAGCCTTAAAAAGTTCTGAACCCAGTTTTAGTCGTTTCTGTGTCTCTTTAAGCCTGATTTATATTTCTCCTTCGGCATCGGTGCAGAGACACGCAGTGCCATTATGCTTGGGCCAAGGGCTCTTCGACGGGCTCACGGAGGATGCCCCAATTTTTAAACACCCACCAAAAGTGACGGAGACTGCAAGCTTGCGATTGGTCAGGACGCAGCTTCCTGTATATTTGTCACCAGCACGGCCATTGCCTCGTTAAAAAGTAAAAAGATATTTAGTGGCAGACCCAGAGCAGATCGAAGAACGCATCACAGAAAAAGTCTGAAAATATGAATGTTTGTTCAGCCGTGACTGAAGGAGTACAAAATACAGAGCAAACGTGGATGGAAACGTGGGTTTAGAGGAGGCATGAAGAGGTGGAGGAAAATGAAGGACAAATTTGTCTGTGTTATAAAGTCTCTGAAAAACAAAAACGCATTAGTAAATACACTATCGTGGACCGGATGCACGAGTGTTATGGTGGCAGGATTCCACAAAAGTGCTACGCCCTCTGTCGTCCTGGTGGGGAATAGTTTAGCAACACTCCGCTGCTTGTGCCGAAGTTAACATATAAAAACCTTTCCGACATTCCGTGTGTGTCTCTCTGTTTGGGAGCTCACGGAGAACTATATATCAGGCTTTTTCTGCTAGCTGCATGCCGATGATCTGACCTTTCTCAAACAGGCTAAAATCTTTCCCCTTACCACCAGGTGTGTCTTTCCACATGGTTATTTAAGAAATGAGCAGCAACTCATTGCACAAGTTGTGGTAAATAACTTGTTGCAGCTGAAAGATGCCAGGCTCCTATACCTATTTGCTTAGTTAAATCTTGGTGGCAACTAACTTTTTGGCCAGGCAGTGTATGTGGGTTTCAAATATAGTTAATTGTACCTAATATCACAATTTTACGTTTGTGCAGAATTAAAAACGCCCTAAAACATGAAAAATTCACCTCATAAAGATTCACACACACACACACACACACACACACACACACACACACACACACACACACACACACACACACACACACACACACACACACACACACACACACACACACACACACCATGGTTTAAAAAAAGAGGTCAAAAGATTGGACTTATTCTAAGCTTCTTTCCAGACATGTTTTGATTTTCTCTCCAGGAGGCGCAGGTCCTCTTGTGATCTGCTCTGACTGTTATGACAATGCCAACATCTACTCCCGAACGCGCGAGTACTGCCCCTACGCCTATCTGTCGGAGGATGATCAGCTGGACAAGACTCTGCCAGGCCTCAGTGAGCACGGCCGTCTAGAGGATGCTACACTGGAGAGCCTCATATGCAACCAGGACCCTTCAGTCTTGCTCACCTCACACGATAAAAGGATTAGCGCTCACGCTGCTCCCGAGCACCATGCTAATGGTGAGATACGAAACACACATTTGATTTTTTTAATAAAAAATGAAAACTGTTCTTATCGGGTCACTCTTTGTTAGTGTTTTTTGTTCTTGTAGCTTTTAAAGTTCTCGTGTTTATTTAAAATCTTTTCTTTCTTTTTTTTTTTTTTTTACAAAAAAAAAATCTTTTCTTTCAATGACCTTGTAAATTAGGGATGGACCCCTTATCGTGTCCTTCACAAGGGTGGACTACCCCATTCTACGAGGGTCATTACCCAGCATGTTTAGAAGTTGTTCTGCTCACACACTTGATTCATTCAGCAGGTCATCAGGCTCTACAGAAGCCCGTTAATCACCTGAAGCAGGGAAACAGCTGAAACATGCTGGGTATCGGCCCTCGGGGAAGGGGTAGTCTACCCTTGGGAAGGGCAGGATTAGTAGAAATGTTGGTTTTCACAACACTAGTTCACTTTGATGTTCAGATGCGGTATAACAGAAGTGCTGTAATGTGATTTATTCGATAATGTGACACCAGATAATGCCTTTTCTGTGAATTAATTAGCTTTTTGCCAGTTCTGAGATAATGCATGTTTGTAATTTTTGTCCTTTTTTGTAGATTCTCTTAGCAGATGTTTCTGGAGAGAAGGAGAAGCTCCATGTTCATTACCCCAGCTCTCAGTACATAGGACACCTCCTCTGAGCTCTGCTGCTGATGGAGCAGGAGAACAGAGTGAAACAGAAGCCAGTTATATCCCAAACCAACACTTTCAGGGACACAGAAGTGCCTCCAGTAGGACTAACACGCAGGAGCATCCGGCTCCTACATAGGACATAGCTGCGTTGGCCACGGACTCGTTGCTGCACCTCTTCCTCACGCTCCACATTGACCTTTGACCCACTACCTCCAAAGAGATTCTTCACATTCTGCCAAAGATGCTCTCTTGTATGTTTACATTCCTGTTCACTGAAGAGGACACGCCCACATTCTCCACTATGGGAAATCTGCTGCGTCAGATGGGACAAATGGAACGCTGATTAAAGTGACCTTCCTGACATCACCACCTCAGGAGCGCGCACCCTCCCCCGCTATCATCCCACATCTTTGGTCTCCTACAAGAGAAAATGGTGAATGTATGCTTTAAGGGACCATGTCAGATGCTGCCTCGAGAGGACACGGACATAGCCGGATCCCCACTTAGCGGTCCCTATTGCTGTGGGACGGAGTGTCTCCTCATTCCCGGTACAAACATGTGTTAGAGGAGCCTACGTGGCTTTGGGCAGGGGGGCGGGGGGTAGAAGGGACCAATCCAGTCCCCTGACCAGCAGTATTTGGTAGATGATCCTAGAAGCCATGCCTCCTATGTTTTCACAGCCATTCTCACTTTTATGCAAACTCCAGAGACATTCCCACCATTGGTGTGTATTGTGAATATAAATATGAATTTATAGTGCATTATCTTCATCAGTTCTCACAGTTTGCAATGATTATTTCCATGTTTTTACATCTTTAGAATAATGAGCAGTTTGGGAGGAACAGTTTTTTTGCACTTCAGACAATCCGAGTTTTGCAGAGTTTTTCCTGACGATTGTCTAATATATTTGCCTTTTTGTTTTTAAGCATTCAACCTCACTCGTGTCCATATGGTGTGGTTTTCTTTAGATTTTAATACACCATGCACTGATTTGTTAGCCCTTGTATTTTTATGTTACAGTTACTTAATGGTGGCAGATGTCATTTGCAGTCTACATGCTGTTCCACATCTTAAAGGCTTTTCATCTTCTATAGATAATGATGAAGCCTAGATTTCCCCCAGGACTGTGAAAATGAGAATGTATTGTATTTTAATTGTATGTACATGTAAATAACATTATCTATTGAATTATATGTGATCTTGTAAGATGGAGTGACTTTGTTTCAGTCCCACATCGTCCCAGAGCTATTTTTATGGGTTTTAGGTATTTTCTTGTACTTTTGGGTTGTTTGGATGTCGCTGGTACTATTCTATGGAACAAATAGTCTCAGCAGAAAGACCTTTTTTTCTAACAAATTTATTATGTGAAACTTCGATTTTCTTTTTAAAACTTAGAATACACCTGCAAAAATGTTATCTGTAAAAATTCAACATCAGAAATTAAACAGCAGAAATCCAACAACTGAAGGGACCTCCTGATGACCCAAGCCAAGGTAATCATCGCTCGATTGAGGCGAGTGACTTTTAGCCAATCATATAACGATTCTCTGATCCTCGACTGAGTAACAGTGCTTTGGCTTAGGTCACCAGGAGGTCACCTCATTTGTTGATGAATTTTTCAGATTTAGAAATTCTGCTGTTGAATTTTCACAGACAAAATATTTGCTGGTGTAATTTCTAGGTGTGGTTGACTGAAAAACTAGTTTTCTCCTGCGTTAGCTTTCGATAGAAAAAGAGACGGTGAAATACTAGGATTTGAAAATACTTGCATATCTATGTCACACTGTACATTTGTATTCATGGCCTCGCCCCTCTTGGCTCGCGCCTGCCCACAGGAAGCTTTTTCTTTTTCTTTTTTTGCAGAATGGAAAGAGCAGGCAGTGTGTTGGGGTGTTTCTCAATGTGAAGGCAGTGTCTTGGTAGGCCAGGCGCCTTGCTTACGAGGACACAATTTTCTTGGTCTGAGGAAATTATTAAAAGGAACGGACTTGCCTCGCGTGACACTTGAGGTAAAGTTATATTTTATACGTACAAGTTAAAATATAACTTTATAACATAGCTTTTATCTTTTAAATTGTGTGTGTGTGTGTGTGTGTGTGTGTGTGTGTGTGTGTGTGTGTGTGTGTGTGTGTGTGTGTGTGTGTGTGTGTGTGTGTGTGTGTGTGTGTGTGTGTGTGTGTGTGTGTGTGTGTGTGTGTGTGTGTGTGTGTGTGTGTGTGTGTGTGTGTGTGTGTGTGTGTGTGTGTGTGTGTGTGTGTGTGTGTGAGGGATGTGAATCTTAGAGCAACTCGCGATTTGATTCGATTCCGATTCTTGGGGTGCCGATTCGATTCAGAATTCTCGATTCTCAATTTAAATCGATTCACAATCAGTATTAACAAAGAGTGTCAGCTCCAGGATGAACTACTTTGTTGTACAAGTTAGTTAAAGCTATGGGACATTTTTATTTGACTTTAAACTGGTCGTGCTCCAAAAATGCAAATTTACAATGTAAAATAAAGTGATTCTAAAACCGTAAACAGAAGCAATCTTTTGACCTAAAGGCAACATTTATTTTTGCTTACCTTGTAAAATCTTAACAAATCTGTAGTTACCTAATAGTAGCTTTGAAAGTAATATGGTCAAATACTTTTCGTATGTGTAGAAACAAGTTACATGAGTAATCCTGAGTACTCATTTATCAACTTAGAAAATAAATGAGACTATCTCAAATTTCTGAGTATGGATAAAATTACATTCAAGTGCCCTCTTATCAGCAGATTCAGACATAAACCATCTCATTTTATGGGACCACAAAAGTAAACGGAGTACTGACTCTCCTAACAAAGATCAAAAAAGTGCATCTCAAACCTGTAACATGCCAAATATTTTTCTTGGAATTGTTTCTGAACCTTTGTGAATCGATTCTGAATCTTTATAAATAAGAATCCCGATTCAGACTTGAATCGATTTTTTTTCAGCACCTCTAATATATATATATATATATATATATATATATATATATATATATATATAAAATATGTACGTGAGTTCATACCTACCAGCTACCAAAGCTGCAACTAACCAACCAAGGATAGCTGTTTTGGATCTAAAAAATAGTTTTGATTTAGCCCGATTGCTACATTTAGTGAACTTACATTTAAACTGGACATTTGTTTCGAAGTAGCTGCTGCTGGCTCCTGATTCATCATCCTTTTGAAAACGCTGCACTGTATTCTGGAAAATTTTTATGTTTATGTTTGTGTATTTAGAAGACGCTTTTGTCCAAAGCGACTTACAAGTGATAATCGGCATTTTGCCCTTGAGGCTAACAACAATAACAACAACAACAACATTGCCATCAGTCATGGAGAGGAGGGAACAAGGAGTGGACAGTAGAGAGGGGGGACGGGTGCAGGGAGGGTGCTAGTTTCGAAGATGCTCTCTGAAGAGCAGGGTCTTCAGGAGTTTCTTGAAAGTCGAAAAGGAAGCCCCTGTTCTGGTAGTGCTTGGAAGGTCATTCCACATTTGTGGAACGATGCATGAGAAGAGTCTGGATTGTCCTGAGCGTGGTGTAGGCACTGCTAGCCGACAATCCTGTGATGACCGGAGCGGCCGGGCCGAGACGTAAGCCTTTGCAAGAGGATTCAGGTAGATGGGAGCCGTACCATCTCTGACTTTGTATGCTAGTGTTGGCAATTTGAATTTGATGCATGCTGCTAGCGGTAGCCAGTGGAGCTCAATGAACAGAGGGGTGACATGTGCTCTTTTTGGCTGATTGAAGACCAGACGCGCCGCTGCGTTCTGGACCATTTGAAAAGGTCTCACAGTACAGGCTGGAAGACCAGTTAGAAGGGCGTTGCAGTGATCGAGGCGGGAGTTGACAGTAGATTGCACCAGGAGCTGGGTGGCATGTTGTGTTAGGTATGGTCTGATCTTTCGTATGTTATACAGCGCAAAGCAGCATGAACGAGCAACAGAGGCAACATGATCTTTAAAGGTCAGGTGTTCATCAATCACAACACCCAAATTTCTAACTGCCTTTGAAGGAGCCAGACATTTTTGACAGAGAAGGCAACAAGACACTTGCCATTTATCCTTGTTCAGCTAGCTAAACCGCTAAAAAATGGAGAACAGGCGCCTTGGTAGCTTGCAAACATTGGAACACGCCTTGGCGATTCCTGATTACGTATCTACTTGACAACCGGTGTGTGACCAAGACATCAAGGCGAGGTTCCTTGACATTGAGGAACATTTGTGATGGTGACTTTGCAACATGGCTGAAAGCATTCTGTTAGCCAATCAAAGCTAGGTGTGTGCATATCATTAATAATAATAATGAGCAATCCTGCTGTTTGCAGTCCAACTGTTCACCAGCAAACTTCTTCATCACAGAACAGGAGCATCACAGCTTTTTTTTAATGACTCTTAAGGCATTGATTTACACAGAACATTGCAAATATATGGCATAAATGAGTAAACCACACCTTTAAGTTGAAAAAATTCAAGTACATAATTTCACCAAAAAATAATCAATGCCAAAAAGTCGTATTCTAGTGAGACTATTTCTTACATTTTATTTGCGACCCATATTTTCCTTTTTTTAATAAACACTCATAAATCTGAGATAATCCTGATCAAATTAAAAACATTGAAACGCACCAGTCTACAGCTGCAATTTAAATCTATTAAATGGAGTTCATTCTGAAACGGTTTCAGCTCAACAGCAGAGTGTTGCAGTAGCACATCGTCAAACATCTGGATGTTTTTTTGTCTGACGACACCTTCTAGTGGCAGAAAAATGTACTTGTTTCCTGGATTACAGCTACTATATGTGTATGTCTGTTTTATATACACATTTATTTCTTTGTTTTATATATATATATATATATATATATATATATATATATTTTTTTTTTTTTTACACACACACACACACACACGCGCGCGCGCGCGACTTGCCCTTAAATAATTCGGCCACTCTGCATCATCTAGGTACTTCTACAACTGCGCACGATCTGTGATTGACATCTGTACATAAGTGGATGTCTAATGCTATTGGCTAATACTGAGCAGTACTTAATTCTAATTGCCCAGGACTCAATGGGACAGGGGGGGGGGGGGTGGACTTAACAAAGGAAATGGCTGTTTTGCTTACATTATATCACAATACAGGGTACGAGAATCACTTTTACAGATTTCTAAGAAATCATGCATAATTCCTGAAAGGGGAAAAACTCCAGATTGTAGTTTTAAACATCAAAATCTCAATAACATTTTGAACAAAACGACGCCATTACCTTCATGCATAAGTTACAAAACTAATTTTTCCAAATGGCTACCGAGCTCAGCCATGGAGTGCAATTAATCTTCAATTGATGCAAAACTTTATAAAATTCCCGCCAAAATAAGCTTGTGTTTGATCATATTTTTGTAAACTTATCGGTACTCTGCAGATATCAGTTGACTTTTGTTCTGTACTTTTTTTTAATTTTGATAACTTTGACAATGTTTGCTTCAAGCTTATTTTTCTATTGGCCATCAGACGTCTAGTTCAGGACTAAAGTCCAAGTCCGTTTTCCTTTTTAAAGCTTTGCGATTGTTGGTTTGTTGTTTTCGTTATTTGATTGTAAAGTAAGTTTCTGGATCTCCGTGTCTGTTGGGCTAACATCAAATCATTGTTCAGTATTTATATTTTAAAATAAATCAGCCTATCACAAACTGTGCATCCTCTAAAATGCCATTTATACTTTTATACCAAAGCTTAAATTGCTCTGACGATACCCAGCTCTGCTGTATTTGTGTCATTATTCTGGACCTCGTTTACCTGTACATTCTGTAAAGCATGTCTAAAGAGCCTTAATTGCTATCTGCTATCTAACAAAACATTTTTGTTATGTCGCCCTTATTCCAGCATTAAACATGAGTTCTCGCAGTTTTCTGTGACAATTTACTGTTTTGTTCCTGCACAAAATAAAGTATCGGTGAAAATTTTTTCTGCGTTCTAGCTGGATAAATGTGACAAATGGTCAAGTTTAAAAATAAAAATTTCCTTTGAGATCAAGTCAAAACCACACACGCTTGGTTATTTGTCTGCAGTTATGCTTTTTAGATGTCTAAAATCTATAGTACGCATGTGGCAAGATGGAGAAACGGGGACCCGGGCGGGAATTGATCCCCAGACTTGCAGGTGAGTCACGTGCACTAACCAGTCAGCCAAAGGGACATCCCCA